TTACATTTATTGGTAATCAAGAACATATTATCAGGAGATAATATATCTGTCCATCTTTTACTTTATTGTATCTGATTTTCATTCTCAATTTGAAAAGGTCTCCTTTACCCAGGATTTTAAAGAAATTGTTAAGAATTAAGAAGTTTTTTGCATATAAACATAAAAGGAATCTAACTGTATAATATATAGCCAATAATATGTAAAAGCTCATTTGAATCTGTATTTTGAAATGCTAACTTTGTGATATAACTAGTTTCTTGACTACTTCATCAAATCTTGTCATTAACACTTTATATTAATTAATGCAGCTTCATATTATGTATGCAAATCCACCTTATCAGTTTACAAAATTTCCTGGTTACCTACTAGCATTTACTCTTGAAAATAAGTTTTGGGAGGAAGTTTTCAAGTTCCAAAATAAAATTCCATTGTGATTTCTTTGGGATATTTTACTAAAATTATATTAAATCAATAAGGTAAAATAAAATTCACATTTACAAGATAGAGTTTTCACATGAAGAAACAGCTTCTTTTGTGTCCTATTTATTCAAGACTTCTGTTATTACAGCTTTCCTCATATAGCTCTTACATTTTTATAGTCTTCGTGCTATTCTGAATGGAAACTTTATAAAATACATTTTGACTGGTGACTGCTATTGATTTTTTCTAAAGACTTATTTTTATTTATTTATGCATACAAGAACTGGGGTGTAAGCCAGAGGTGCAGGGGGTGAGAGGATTCACCAGAGACAAAGTGGGAGCAGAACAGGCAGACTGACTGAAATACATTGCTGAGGGGAGCAGTGGGCCAGACAAGAGAGATCTGCTGCGCCATGTGGGTTCTCTCTCTGGCCAGAATTAAAATCAGGTTGCAGTGGCTGGCAATTGCTTGATAGTGCTGAGTCTTAACCCCTTGAGCCACCAGGGAGGCCCTTGCTATTGATTTTTTAATGGGTATCTAGAATTCAGTCACATTGCTAAATCTACAAATTAGTTTTTTTAAATATACTTTTGTAAAATTTCCCAGTAAACATTATTTTCATCTGTGAATTATAATTTTGTAACTTCCTACTCAAAATTCATATTTTATTCTCTTTTCTTGATATTTGCATAGCTAGGAACTAAAGAACAGTGCTAAACAATGCCACTAGGTATTTATCCTCATCTGTAAAATTGAAGCCCTGTGCTAGGAAAAATTCACACAGGTCATCTTTGCCCTCACTCCGTATAGATTAGGTGCTGCCATCCCATATCTCATAAAACCCCAGTCTGGGTCTGTTGTAGCATGAATCACATGATGTGAAATTGTTTATGAGCTTCAGTAGTCTATGGGTTCTTAAGATAATGTCTTTTCACTCTATTGTATATAAATAAATGTACCAGCTAACCAAGTCCAACAATTTCATTAATGGTTCAATTAATCTGTTCTCTTTTCCAATCTCTATTTTAGTCTTTCCTCCATGTCCCAAAAATGAGTAGAAAATTATGCCAATTTTACTTAAATTTTATCAGCTTCCTGCCTGATTCTCTATCCATATTACTAATTCCTTAGTTCAAGTTCCCATTTTTCCTCAATGAAAGCAACATCATTCTAACTTAAATATTAGACAGTCCCCATTTTAAGGAAAAAAATTCTGAGAAACTTGCCATCAAATAAAATTTTTATGACGTTGCTTAAAAATATACAAGCAAAATTTGATATAAACTCCATATATTTAACGTTTGTACATAAATCTAAAACTAAAACAATTTATGCATTAGATATTTTCACGACCATTTTAGCAACAGTTTAATCACTAAATTAGTTAAAGTAACAGTACCCTTTGCTAAAAATAATATGCCAATTTTGTATTAATAGTATACAAAGATACACATCCAAATCTATTTTTATATAATCTATCTCTGCTTTCACATCTGAGACCTCAAATGGAAGCTATCCTTTTGAATAAGGATGCTTCACAAAATAATTTTGATAACTTGAGATGTGTGCAGAATAATCAGACTTCATACCTAGCTAAACTCTGGGGCTGTATAATTTTCAAATGCCAATTTTAATGAGCTGTCATTTGATAATTCAGCAAAGCCTGTTTTTATTTGAAGATAAGGTTAGCATGGGGGAATTATTGAAATCCATGTTATTTGGATGTATAAAATCAAATGCAAAAACATTCTTTATCACATTTGGTTTTATATTAACTGCTCCTTGGTGATGCAAATTGGTACAAATAAGGACATGGTTATGCTAATGATGCTCTGTGAAGTTTCTTTTAAAATAGATATGCCATACTCCTGGGCACTGTTTTTATCCATCATATTTTAAAACTAGTGTCAAAAAGAAAAGTTGTAAATAATTTGTTTAGCGCTGATGTAAGGATTTTTTTTCCTTCTTGCAATAAAGTATAAGGAAGTTCAATTTTAGATTAACTAGTTCTCAAAATAAAAATTGAAAGTTTTTGGCTCTTTAGCATGCAAGTTCCTAAAGTCAGGTCTAACCATAGTTTATGTTATTAAATGACAGTCAAGCTTTCTAATTAAATAATGTTTTAGTCAATTTGACTATAAAAAGAAACATTTCTGATTTTGATAACAAATATAGTTTTTCAAGGTGGAAAAGTTTTAGACTGGCTCTTTAACTCTTGACATTAATCAGAGAGCAAGGTTTTTTATACTGTAAATCTCTTTATACTTAAACTCAATTTCAAGTGCCACACCATGTGAAATCTACTAGAGATAGTCATTTCTTGGTTCCTATATCTATCCCGACAGGTGATTTTTTTTCGTTGTTTCTTTACACTCATCAAATGCAAAAACATTCTTTATCTGTGTGAACGTATCTGTATTTTTTTCACTCATTTATCTGTGTGGATATATCTGCACATCCCACACAAACTCGAGTCCTGCACCATAGCAGGTAACCAGTAAGTATTTAATGAATGGATGAATAGAAAATAAATTAAGGTCACTTCCCCTCTCCCGAAGTGGCCATTACTCAAACAGTACAGAATATGAGCCTAAATATTGTCCTCTGTCTTTCCTGCTTCTGTCAACATATCACACATGAAGTTGATGAAGTACTTTGCCTCAGCAGAAGGGCAAACTAGCCTTTATTGTATAGTTAAGTTTTCAGAGTTTCTGCCCCTTTAGGATGCAAGGTCCTAAAGTCAGGTCTACATATTCCCGTAAGGATAGACAGAACTCAAGACCTCCCTATAGGAACAAGGGAAAGGCTGGTGTCAGGTCTCACATATCTCAGACTAAATTCAAGGAGTGGGGCATAAAGGCACCTTGAATGAAACTCTTGATGTATCCTCCCTAACAGATGTCTCTACATAGAAGACAATCCAAACTGTTCTTCAACAGTGGGACCTTCATCCTGGGCTTCCTCTTGCCACCCAGGCCCAAATATTTAATGCCCATTGTAAATAGAGTTACCAACCATCCTAATTTCCCTGGACCTAAGAGATTTCTGGAGATGCAAAATTTCAGTGATAATTGGGATAGTCACAGGCAAACTGGAAAGGCCCATCACCCTAAATATGCAAAACACCATGAATCCTAACCCCAATTCACTTGGAGGAAAGATATATTTAAGCTAGGTTGTTACTCCAGGCTTTAAAGGTATGTACATGTATAAGATATTGTTAACCCACCCTCTTCTTTTTCTGTGCTGCATTTGTTAACTTGCAGCAGTGGATCTCAAACCTTACTAAGCAACAGAATCATGCAGAGGGTTTGTTAAAATACAGATTGCTGGAACTCAACCTCAGAGTATAGAAGTCAGAATATCTAAGTCAGAATTTAAGTCTAAATCAGTAGGTCTGGGGCTCAAAATCTATATTTTTAAGAGGTTACCAGATGCTGCTGCTGCTGATGGTCTGGGCATCTCATTTTTTTTAAAGATTTATTTATGCATAATAGAACTGGGGTACAGGCCAGAAGTGTGGGGGGGAGAGAATTCACCAGAGGCAGAGTGTGGAACAGAACAGGCAGATCAACTTAAATACACTGCTGAGGGGAACAGCGGGCAAGTCAGGAGAGGTCTGCTGTGCCATGTGGGTATCTCCCTGGCCGGGGATCGAACTCGTGCTGCAGTGGATGTGGATAGCTTCATAGGTTGTGTCTTAACCCCTTGCGCCACCAGGGAGGCCCTGGACATCTAATTTTAAGAACAACTGCTCTTCTGAGACTAACATGTAATCAACAAAGGAGTCAACTGCAAGTATGAAGGTATTCATCAATAATACACAGTACAGATTATCATAAGATTCGTGTTTTTTCATTCATTTTTTAAATACTTCTCAGTGGTGTCTATATACAGTATTTTTCAATCTTAATATACAGAGTTTTAAGTCTAATATAAATGTTTTAAACTTTCTGACAAGTGTTCACAGAGATGTGGGGAGTTCTCCATTATTGGGTTTATGTTAATGCCCAATAGTAGTGATTTCTCTATGGAAAAGTAAGCACAATGCAGCACAGTTCTGGTGACATTTGGTTCCTCTCTATGTGCTCAAACCTAACTGTTCAAATAATCTTCGTACATATACTGAATCATAGTTTCACAATTAACATTCCCTCTGGCATATTAAACTGGAAAAAAGTATAGTTTTGATAACACAGTCTGCATTTCTTTCAATCTATGGAAACTTTTTAATGTAGCAAAACTGTAAAGCAATTCAAAATTATAAATATGCATGAGATTTTGTGCCCAAATTTACTGTTGCCCATCAATAGACAAATTGGTTTTAACAGTGGAAATATGTCTCTTATCTCCAAGGAAAGATTCCGGACTGCTTGCATTTAGATGTTGTATTTGACCTACGAGAAACTAAGCTTAGAGTACTTGGATGACAGAGATTCAATCCCATATCTGTAAAAGGTTTCTGGGAAAATGGGTATGGAATAGAAATGCTTTACCACTTTGAAGAAGAAAATGAATTTCTAAATGGTCTAATCTCAAAAACTAGTTTTCAATAATCACCATTTGTTTTTGTCCCCAGCGTTCCGGTGGTGGCCTTGCCATTCCCTTGTGTGCATTCCAGGGGACGGTGTCTCTCCATGCACCTACAGGGAAAACCCTATCTCTTTCTACCTATGAAGTAAGTGCAGAAGGGCAAAAAATAACCCCTGCCTCTAAGAAAATAGAAGTCTATCGATCTAAAAGTGTTGGCCATGAACCAAACCCAGAGGACTCTCCCTCCACATTTGTGGACACCAATGTGAAAATACACTTGGAAGTTCTTGAAATATGTGACAATGAAGAGGCCTTGGACACTGTGTCAATCATTAGCAACATCAGTCAATCCTCTACGCAGGTCAGATCTCCATCCCTACGCTACTCAAGGAAGGAAAACAGATTTGTTTCATGTGATTTAGGGGAGACAGCCTCATACTCTCTCTTTTTACCCACAAGTAATCCCGATGGCGATATCAATATCTCCATCCCGGACACAGTTGAAGCACACAGGCAAAACAGTAAAAGGCAGCATGAAGAGAGAGATGGCTACCAGGAGGAAATCCAGTTGTTAAATAAAGCTTACAGGAAAAAAGAGGAAGAAAACAAGGGTAACTAGTGATCATTTAAATAATCTAATGAGGCAAGAATGGCTCTGTAACTCCAAATTGCTAAATTAACACCTTCGTTCTGAGGCTATTTGATTTCCTTTTCTATTAGTTGGTTTACATAAACTTTACAGATTTGCTAGTTTATTACGTTTAGTGCTAACTTTTAGTGCTAACAGCTGAAACTAGTGCAAACACTTAAGTGCTTCTGATGTGTTACCTATAGATCACACACTGTGGTAATTTAAAGATATTGTTTCTTACTCAATTTCTAAAAAATCTTTTCTAAATGAGATCTTGGCTTAGTTTACAAATGTTTTGTCTATGTTTATCAACCACAGAGTAAACAGAAAATTGCATAAATTCAATGAATATACTATTCACATACACATGTTTCCACACATAATGTTGGCATTTACTGCAAAGGAATAAAAGACATTTTGGGAATGGAAAAAATGTAACAAAATTCCAAGTTGTATTTAAAGAGTTTGTGCCTACATGGGGCCAGCAAAACAAGTTTATTACAGTTACTGCTTTAACTTTACACCTATATTTAGGAAATATATTTTTGTGTAAAATGACAAATTAGTCTCCAGCTTCAAAACAAGCATGTCCCTAGTCTGTAAATAGTTGTTTCCTTAATTTCTACTAAGTATAGTGTTTATTGAATGCCTTTTTTCCCTCTCTTAAATATGTGTTTCTCTTTCATCTTTAGTATGTTAAGACTGCCTTTAAAACAAATATGTTTTGTGTTACAAGTGGAATTAGAAGTAGTCCTTAATTCAAGTATTACTGGAAAAGATTGTAAATGTACATGTCACCATTTAAAGAACTGTATTTATTTGAATGGAAATTATGGAAAACACTGCCAGATAAGCTTTGTGAGATACATCCAACTCAAGGGAGGAACATTTGGGTAAAGGAGAGGAAAATCCTCTAAATCCAAAATGGAGTTTTGTTTCTAAAGTTGCAGATTTGGTAAATTTTCTTAGCCATTCTTGAAGCATAGAATAGTTCAAATATTATTCTAAGTTTAGGTGCTTCTTAGTCTTTTTCCCAAAGACATGAGTATCTCAAGCAATGTATTTTATTAAATGATTATTGGGTATGCATTTCAAGATTAATTTTAAACATGTTACATTGCAAAAAATGTAGGAATCACATTGTCAGAATGTTTGTTATGTGTATTTCAAAAATGATAGTGATTTTTCTTCAAATTGCTTTATTTTTATCTTTCTGTAAGCATACATTAAACAAATTCCTTAAATGTTTATTTTCCAAAGTTATTAAGGGTTGACATTTTACTGGTTTTAAATTTTGTACACCTTCACCTCATTTAATATTTACAGACTGAGTGAATTTTTTTTAAATGGTTTACTCTGGGTTTTATTTCATAATATTAAATCAGAATTCTAAATTACTTGACATAATTTTCAAATTGAGAACTTAGTTTTGCTTAGCCAGATGTCATTTTCTTTTTTAAATTTATATTTATTCTATAGAAGAACTGGAGTGTAGGCCAAAGGTAATGGGGGGAGGCAAGAGGAAGACAGAGTAGGTAGCAGAACAAGCAGATTTACTGCAATACACTGCTAAAGGGATCAGCAGGCAAGACAGGAGAGGTCTGCTGCACCAAATGTGGGTTACCTTCCTGGATGGGGGTTGAATTCAGGCCATAGCAGTGATAGCACTGAGACTTAACCCCTAGGCCACCAGGAAGGACCCCAGATGTCACTTTCAAAGTAATTCTCAATGGATTTTCCCTGTCTTTCATTTAACTTTTCAATATCTCATTACCTAAGCTTGGGAAGCAAATGCAACATCATTATCAATGTTTGCAAAGGAAGCCTCAAATAATGCATAACATATACATTCAAATTCAAATGTATTCTCATAATAAATATATTTTACATAGAGACTTCTTATTCCCAAAATTGAGGGCTCTTTCAACAAACAAAATGGTCAGAATTAATGTTATAAATCAATAGCATTAAATGTCCATTATAAAGCAAAAATTGAATTAAACATTCTTAATAAGTCTTTGATATGTATAAATTTAGATATATAATTTTATCAATGAAAAAGATGATTTTGCTGCTTTAATGTGTAATTTCTGGCAGTAAGGGAATTAGAAACAATAATAAAACTAGAAAAATAATGAAACTGGAAAAAATAATAAATACAAACAAATCCACTATAAATAAGTACATAGCACTTTGAATGAGAAGATGATGGAAGTCATAATTTAGAGAACACAAGAACTGGGTTGGAACACAATAATACCAATTTTCTTTTCCTTTTTTCCATTTTCTTTTCATCAGATTTGCTCTATTACACTTGTTCTAGGAACTCAGCTGGCATGCTATAAGGAGGCTGAAATGGGCCACAAGAGAAACCAAGTGGAGAGACAACATGTAGATCTTCCAATCCATAGCCACGCAAAGTTCTAACCCAAATCTAACATCAGTTACCAAATGTTTGAGTGAAAATGCCGCCAATAATTCCAGTACCCCACTATCTAGTCTCCCATAAGAGAGGAAAGAGAGAAAAATGCCTAGAGAGTGGAACTTTCTAATTATCTGAAACAAGAAAATTTAGCTGGCAATTTTAAGATGGTCCCACTATTTTCTTGTCGCCTAACAAGAAAGGAGTTTAGAAATATTATCAGTAATAAACAAAGATAAAAAAACCCCTACATTTTCTTTGTCCATCTGAATTGTATTTTAAATTGTACTTTTACCATAAGTTACATATCAAGAGTTATTTCTACAGATTCATTCTGCATGTAACTAAATTTCACAATTCAAATTCCACAATTTTATGTGACAAGTTACTCTATAGTTATTTTAATAAGTTCTTTCATCTTCCTGATACAGAGAAATAAATATTAATGCTGTCTGTGTTTTCCTTCTTTTCCCACTCAACATAAATGTAAACACCCTAACCTTTGAAATATAACATTACATGACCAAATGCTCAAATGACAAGCTGCTTTCTGGACATTTCAATTTCTATTTTTCATAGCCTCAAACTGTATATGGAGAAAATGAACACATTAACTCATTACTCCCTCCAACCCCACCACCAACCCCCCAGAAGAATCTAACAGGACTGGTTTTGAACAATAAGAAGCAGCAAAACACTGTGCTAGGGCCTGTACCTCTCCTGTGTGATGCTACAGAGCAGGATGACTTCTGGGACTGAATCGTCTTCCTTGTAATTCATCCTCATCTATTTCTTCCTGGGATTGTGCTGAAATGTTTTGATTTGTGAGAAATGTATTCCTTATTCCATAAATAATAGTATATTTATTATATTTCACAACTATTGTAACTCTCCAAAATCACAATATAAATCATTAATTAAACCTTTAAAAATTCCTCTTCATTATATAGTCTTCATCTCAGGAAATGGACCTCCTCATTTGGTGGTCATTCAACTTTAAACTTGGGCATTACCTGACCCTTTCTTTAATTGCACACATCCAACGCATCATTATATTTTAAAAACGTTATCACCCAATAATGACAAATCTTTAAAAGAGGCGGGGGCATTTTTTGTTTAATTATATATTTGAAACAGGTGCCAGACTGCTCTCAAGAAGTGGCTACTGTAGACGACTGGCCTCGGGAAAGTTGTGTCAGCAACAACTTAAAATTGTCTCCGAGTCAATCAGTAACTTAAAAAAATGGCACTGGTAAAACTCCCAGTGTTCAAAAGATCAGCCTCTAAATAGAGTAAAATAACATGCTCCTCAATACATAGACACCATCAAAGAGATATATTAACTGGCCTTCTCCCTGGAACCTCAGTACAAATCCTTGAAAATGCAAAAAGATATCCTTGAAGACTCTAAGGTTTCTCATCGTGGGGCTCACAATTTAGACAGCTTTCCCAGAGCTACCTAGCAGCTGTACCCCGACTTGAGTCCTCAGTCTAATTCATCAATAAACTCATTTACTTTTTCTGGACTCAATTTATATGTCAGCATACTAAAAACGAAAAAAAAAAACCACGAATTCATTTCATTTCTTGAGAGACCGCTAGAAGGCAGTGCATCGCCCCATAGGTTATCTAACTTGTGTCAACCCACGTTTGCTACCCAGGGTGTAAGGGAACGCAAACTCCCGATTTATTACAAGGAATAAAACCCCAAACCCATTTCCTCACTTGCTAGGCTGAGGGAAAGAAAACGTGCGAGTCTTTTGCTCTCACTCCCTCCAGCACAATGGCCGGGAACTGTGGCCACAGCCAACAGGACTTCACCTGAGCCTCCCTCCGCACATGCGCGGTCGCTGGCCTTTGGCGTCACGGGCCGCCGCCACTTGTGACGCTCAGCCGCCTTTCCTCGCGTCCTGGGCGCCGGAAGCAAAACGGAAGTGGACCTGCACCCGCTTCCGGCCCGGGCGCCATTTCCAGCGGTTGCAGGTTCTCACGGGTTGAAATCGCCCGGGACCATGAGCTATGACTACCATCAGAACTGGAGCCGCGATGGGGCGCCCCGCGGCTCTGGCGGGGGCTATGGAGGGGGTTATGGTGGGAGTCATGGCGGAGGCCGTGGAGGAAACCGAGGCTCCGGCGGCGGAGGTGGTGGTCGCGGCGGCCGGGGCCGACATCCCGGGCACCTGAAAGGCCGCGAAATCGGCTTGTGGTACGCGAAGAAACAGGGGCAGAAGAACAAGGACGCCGAAAGGCAGGAGGTAATACGAGACTCGTGATGCAGGGGCCGGAGAGATGAAGCAGGACAAGTTTTCTTTTCCCTACCGCAGCCCCCGAACTTTTTCTTTGCTCGTTTGCTTCGTATCTTGGCTTTATAACTGGTGCATTTGACTTATAAAGTGTAAGTGAAATACACAGGTATTATGCCAAAGTTTCCCGTAGCGCGTGTTGTATCGCTTAAATCAGCCATGTGCATCTGACTTGGATCAGTCATTTCTGTTGGCTGAATGTGCACTGTACCTGCAAGACGTGAGAGCTGGACAAAATAAATGTTAAATTCAGGTTCCAACTGAAATGAACTTTATTGTGGTGTCGCTGTCATAGTGTTTTTGGTCTTTCCACCCCTTTCCCTTAGAATAATTATGGTTACTTATAAAGTTTTTTGCTAGGTGAACTCGAAAATAGAGTTCTACATTGGATACAGGTTTTCGGAGGGAACAAAAGCTGTCAGGAACTATTTTGAATGTAGGCCTTTATTTTTACTATAAAAATAGCCACAAATCTTTTTTTTTTCCTTTAATTTTTATGTTCAGCTGGAGAAGTTAATGTTAATTAGCAATTCCTCTTTGAGAAGGAAATTAGGATCTTACAAGTGGAAGAAATTTTAAGGGATAATTTGTTTTGGTTTAGTTGCTTCAGATTGGTTATTGTGCTTTGATTTGTATGATAAAAATCTGTAGTGAAGAAAACAGTAAAGTTACCTGAGTGGCCTAATCTAATTTTTAAAAGTATTATGATGAACTGAAACTTAATAGAAACCTTAAAGGAGATTTTTAGTGACTTCTTAAACAGCTTGCTTCATAGAAGCACACTTAATTACTTGTAGAGAGTAATTAAATTATCTTTTAAGCTGTTTATCAGTAATTCCATTAACTTTTTTTTATCCGTGTCATTTTCATTGAAACTTGGTGTGCTCCGTTTATCTTCACAGCGTTATCACATTTTTCTCTTTAAAAATAGTGACCAGCATATTTCTTTGACAACCCAAGATTAACTTGTTCATTGAGCAAGTTGGTTTTTTAAAAAATCCAGGAAAGCACATCTAAGTCACCTTGAAATTGGAAGGATAATGAATTACTGTAAAGGAATGTGCACAGTAACTTTCTAAGAACTCTTCATCAAATTTAATTTACCTTCTGTTTCATACAAGGTTTTATGCATGTTACTAAGAGAATCTGAAGAAACATTTAAAGAGCTCCTTGGGGAATTTTTGTTTCCCTGTGAAACCACTTAAGCCATGGATCATGATGAATGAAACTCTTGATTACTATCAACTCTCCAAATCTTTGTTTTAGTTAATGTCGCTACCCTTTACTCATTTGCCAAAGCCAAAATGGAATTTGTTTTTGATTCTTCTCTTTCATTTCGCCAAATCTGTCTTCTCTGCCTTTTCAGTATATCCCACATTCTATCACTAAGGTCCCCAACATTTACTATAGATCTATTATCAGTTATCATAGAAACTATTTTGGTTTTTGTTGGTGGTCCCTTAATTGACCTTCTAGCATACAATCCTGCCCCTATACAGTCAGTCCTTTCTTACAGCTATTCACAGTGATCTTGAGGACCTAATGTATTTGAGGTAGTATCTTAGGTACTGTGCTGTTTAGATACATGTTCTTGGCTATTGTGGTGCATTAGGGGCTGCAGAGAGAATATGGTGTTAAAGTTTTATTAGAAGGAGAGTATGGGCTATCTCCTAACTGAGAGTAGAAAGATTCTGAAGGATTTCACAGAGGAAGTAACCCTAAAACTGAAACATGAGATAGCAAAGGGAATTTAGGGATTTGGGATTTGGAGAGGGATTTCAGACTGAGGCAGCAGCCTATACCACACAACCTTGAGATCAGAAAGAATATGAAAAGCAATAGCCTGGATGTGCATTGTGTTGACATAAAGGTAGAGCAGTGGCTGTCAAACTTGTTCACCACTTCCCACAAAAGGAATATATTTTTATTTGCCACCCTGCTGCAGCTCCAATCAATTATACACACACGTATAATTGGAAAAAAAAGTTTCATAAAATAATATTTAATTACCTGTACACTGCTCTGAGGTTTTTGTACCCTTCTCTCTTTTTTAATAATTCTGGTTAAGATCTTTTAATATGTAATTTAGAAACAATTTGAAAAGTCCTGGATTGGAAAAATAAGCAGGGCCTTGAAATTCATTGACTGTCCCTGAGAAATTTAGAAAGCCATTTAAACACTTTACGGGGGAAAAAAATGAAATGGTTGTATTTGTGGTAATATTCACTATGGTAGCAGTGTAGATGATGGACTGAAAAGAGACAATCCTAGGACAGGGAGACTGCTTGTGGTAATTAAGATGAGAAATGAAGACTTGAATTAGAACACTGGCATTATAACAGATGGACAGTAATTTAGAAAGTGATTTAGAAGGTACACTCAACCTGATTTAAAATGGAGGGAAAAAGAAAGCAAGTATTGATGAATTACACCTTTATGACTGTAAGAAGCAGGCTGATGAAGATGATAGATTCAGCTAAGGATACGGTGACTTTGATACTACTACAGGGCATGTAAGCAAGGATTTTCAGGAAGTAACCATATAGATCTGATGCCTAGAGAAATCTAGACTATAAGTGAACATTGGGAAGTTTGTGGGCGCATGGACAGTAATTGGATTATGAAAGTGCGTAGAAGACTGGATGCAAGCTGAATCTTACAGAGCATTGCTTCTCAAACTTGAATGTGTATAGGATTCACCTGACATCATATTAAAATGGCCAGAACGTCTACTTTTCTAACACTCTCAAATGATGTAGTGCTATGACCTGCAGGTTACTCAGGCTGTAGGTTGGAGAGACAAGTACATTAAAGGGACAGGCTAAGGAAGAGAAATTTGCAAAAGAATCCAGGAAGAAGCAGCCAGAGAATGAAAATGAGGGTGGGTGTTTTGAAATATAGAGGTAGTATTTAAGGGGAAAAAAGATTTAGAAAAATGAGTAAATAATTACTAATGACAAGTACTGCATATATGTTAAGACTCAGCAACATTTTGGATTTAAAATCAAGGTTATCATAACCTTGAAGAAAACCCTTTCTATGGAGTAGTAAAAATAAAAACCAGATGGCAGTGGAGTGACTAGTGAGGAAAAGTTAGAGAAATGGAGCATTTTCAAGTAGTTTTACTATGAAGAGGAAGGGGGGAAATGGAGCAATAGCTGATTGGGATGGAAGAATTCAAAGGTGATTTTTTGCTTGTTTTTATTCTTTGAAAAATAAAGAGATTTGACTATGTTCATCTTCATATACGGATGGTTAGGAACAATGGAAAGGAAAGATATATCACAATAGACTAAATTATGTCTCAGTAATAAACAGCCCCCAATTTTTAATGATGTAGAACAACAAAGACCTGTTTTTCTGCTGACATTATTTAACTATTGGAGTTCTGTTGAGAGGTCTCATTTTGAAACAGAGGCTAGGTTCTCCCATCTAAAAGCATACCTAGTCTCAGTGACAGCAGGGAAGGAATACAGTAAGTCATCCTTGATTCTTAGAGATTCTCATTTCCATTTCTCTGGGCAGTAAGTCATATACCCATGCTGAACTTAGGGGAGTGAAAATGCAGTTCTATATATATGCAAAGGAGTAAACCAGAATATTGGTCAATATATAGTGACTACTAAAGAATGAGAGATTTAAGAAAGATAAATCTCAGTAGGAGATGAAGGAGGTGAAGACAGCTGGTCTACAGAGTTTAGGTGGAGAGGTTAACCATCAGCATGAAAATGGACTCCATCTTAATGGAGTCCTTCCATTTTAATTGTAAGGAAAAGAGCAAAAATGTGCAATCTGATGTAAGTAGCTTTGAGGTTTGGGGGCATGTAGTTGAGGACCTTTTCCTTACAATTTTGTTTTCATTATGAATTAATATATAAAATGTTGAGTATGACCACAAAGATGTTGTTAGTGTGTGAAAGAGGATGGGAAAAGTTTGGGATAATTGTTAATGAGGAACTGATAAGATAGGTTACAAAAAAAAAAACAACACACAAACAACATTGAGGGTCTCCCCTGCCAGGAATTTATAACTAGAAGCAGAAAGAATACTTGAGGATAGCCAAAAGGGGAGAAATGATCAAAACTAAATGCTGTAAAGTAATAACATCCATGAAGCATAAGATGTGTCTGAGATTCTCCAGGCAGGTGGTGAGGTAAAGTGAAGAGTGATGGAAGGTTAGAAGGGAGGCAATCTCCAAAGAAGGCAGGGTCCAGGTTTGGCATTTTGGCCAGTTCTCCACTTGAGACTCATTGTGGGAGAACCTCATTTTAAATATGAGGTTAAAATTTTATAGATATTGTAAATTGTGTTTTTATTAAAAAGTATAAAATTATGTTTTCAGGGGCTGTTTCATTTTTCAATCATCCCGCCTTTTTGTGGATATCTAAAATCCATATAACAAGGTGAGGAGAACCTTTGTTCTGCTAGTAGAGGTAAAAACTTCAAAACATAAAGTTCTGGTTGATTGAAGAAATGCTTTAACGTGAATGAGTTTCAGTTGGAAATAAATCATTGTACAGGTAAAAGTTACTCGGTCTTGTCTTTACCATTTTGAAATGTGAATGAGAGAAACAATGGTTTTGAACCCTTGGATTGGTTGGAAAGGATGCAAAAATTAAGAAAGCTTTACTTGAGAATGACTTTTTATCCTTTCCAGAGGCATTTTTAATCAAAGTATAAATTTCTAACTCCAAAGAAAAAGCATAATAGTTGATTTCTAGGGAGGCAGAAAGAGCAGTAAATGTTAATGCTTGCTAGGACATTACACAATTTAAAGCATAGGGCAAACATGTTTTAGTAATGATCCCTGTGTCTGGTTCCACAAGACTGCTCTAGGGTTCCTTGATTCAGTAGGAGGAATAACAGAACTCTGAACACTATGGTGTACTCGCAATGACAGTTTTTTATAGTCAATTATTACAGGTTAAAATCAGCAAAGTAAAATGTGCATAGGGCAGAGTCCAGGAAATCCAGGTTGAAGAGTCCCAGTTCTAGTGAGAGGATATATTGTATAGAAAAGACTCATTAGTGTAATATATAAGCATAAGCCATTTTTAAAAGATTATTTGTAGTATGGTTTAAAAAAAAAAACAACAGAATTTGGGGCTTTAGTGACTGTTTTAAAACAGATTTTGTGGGCCTCCCTGATTGCACAGGCGGTTGAGCTCAATGCTGTGAAGCTATCCACAGCCTCTGCGTGCGGGTTTGATCCTGGCCAGCCAGCGAAATACCCACATGGTGCGGCAGACCTCTCCTGTTGTGCCCACTGCTCCCCTCAGCAGTGTATTTCAGTCATCTGCCTGTTGTGTTCCCCACCATGTCTCTGTTGAATCCTCTCACCCTCCTGCACATCTGGCCTGTACCCTGGTTCTTGTATAAATAAATAAATCCTTTAAAAAAAAAACAGATTTTGCTGCAGCTCCTATCAAAGTTTTGCTCTATTGTGCTTTTAAATTATATTAGAATAATGAAACTCTTGAATAAAAAGAAAAACAGCTTAACACAGAAGTGTCACATATACTCATTATAAAAGATAGATTCAACCGTTCATCCATTCATTTGACATACTTTTCTGTCTATTATGTATAAGAAATATATCTGGAAGAAATACTGCAAAAAATGCAGAATGTGAATAGTAGATAAGCTTTTTTAAAAATAATAATAATGAAAATGAGATACTCCTGTATTTTTTCTGCTCCTGTATTTTTTCATTTAATACTTTGGCTGTCTTTCCTGCCTGCATACTTGAAGAAAAAAAAATCTGCCAACTCCATTTATAATTTAGTAAATAATTATTAATTATAAGTATAATTCAACTTATTTTAATTTGCATTTATAAAATAAACTTTTTTTCCAAGTTCGTGTTCATTGTTAACTCCTCTGATAACCTATTTTCTTTTAATGCTTTCAAATTTTGTGAGGCAACTGTGTCATTTACCACATGTGATCACAATCTTCATAAATGCTGATAAATTGTATTTATGTACTCTGAACTCAGACCTTCTAACTTTTAAACTTACTCCTCCTTTAAGTGTGAGAACTTAAAAATTACATTGCAACCAAAATAATGCTTCCAAAATTTAATTGAGTTTTTCTTTTTTTTTGAACTGATCTTTGGGTTTTTTAATAGTTTATGGGCATTTTTGAAAAGTTAAGATGAGAAAATTTCATAATGACTAGTCTGAGGGCAGGAGGTAAGGAAAATAAAGATGGAGTAAGACATAAATATGTTCCCTATTACAGTCATCTTAGAGTTAATTTTATAATATAATAGAAAAAAGGTATAGAAGACTATATGTAAAAAATGTTAACATTAATTGGGTCTAGGAAATAGAATTGACCTAGTAGACAAGTATGGGATTAATTTAACTTTCTTTTATGTTTGTCTATTGAATATATATTACTTTGCCTGTCTTTAAAAAATATTGGATAACTTAGCACATACTTATGTTGATAAGGATGCTTTTTCCTTTGCACAAATAGAGAGCTGTAGTACACATGGATGAACGCCGAGAAGAGCAGATTGTACAGCTACTCCATTCTGTCCAGGCTAAGAATGATAAAGATTCAGAGGCACAGATATCCTGGTTTGCTCCTGAAGATCATGGGTAAAACAAAAGTATTTTTTTAAAAAATGAGCAAAGTGGTGACACTTCTTTCATAGCATTGGCTAGGGGAAAAAAAAAAATAATGAAAATGGCATCTTTAGTCTCCTGAATAAGTGATTTAATCTTAAAGTTTTGTGTATGTGGATTGAGTAGATACAATGAAAAGTAAGGGGAAAAAAATTAGGTGGTATATTCATTTCCACAGGAAAGCAAAATGGTAGGATATGAGATTCATTAAGTTATTATTTATTCTTCCTACCATTATTGTTGTATTTCAGAAATTATGTGGAGAAGTTCCACAGGAAATTAAATTGCTATTACTGTAGGAGAATCACAGGAGCTATATCATTTAGAAAAAAAAAGTGGGAGTTTTTCTGGCACTGTGTAATGTAGCTTCCCATTTATGGGTAAAAAAGAAAGAAAATGAGGTGAAATTAAACAAGGCTCAGAAAATCAAAAAAAGAAAAACACTGTTAAGCCATTGCAGTGGAGGAATGACTATTTTGTGGATTTTTGTTGTTGTTTAATAAGGGATAACTGGCAATATTTATTTAGAGGGAGGAAAAACATGACTTCATTATAAGAATGTAGGTATTTTCAAAATTGCGCTCCTATGAAAAAATAATGAAAGTTTTTGATTTTGGTAATTTTGAAATATCATAAAATTTTGTCCTAGAGTCTAGGACAAACTTTTATCCTAGAGTCCTAGTGGCTCTTCATTTTATGTTTTCTCATTTTTTCATCTTGTCAAAATAGGTATGGTACTGAAGCTCCAGCTGAGAAAAAACCAAACTCAGAGAAGAAACTTGAGGACCATGAAAAAAAATTGATAAATCAAGAAAAAAGGACATTTAGAATCAGGGACAAATACATTGACCGAGATTCAGAGTATCTGTTACAAGAAAATGAACCAGATGTAACCTTAGACCAGCAATTATTGGAAGATTTACAGAAGAAGAAAACTGACCATCGGTATATTGAAATGCAGGTAATGAAAAGCAAGATGTAGGAAAAATTTTACTAGTTATTTTTTCCCACACTTCATAAAAATATATTTAAACTTATGTTTAGAGGTAGCACATGGTTTAAGTCATTGTTTCCTCAGCAGATCATCATCTGTGGGAAATCCCCCCCCCCCATCATCCTAGAGAAAAGCAGTGGTAATAGAATCACATATCACCTATAGTAGTCCATCTCATCTATAGCAGTTTCTATGATGAGGGGAAGAAATATTTGGAAAATAGTGGTACAAATGAAAAAAATCACTCTTAAGGTTTAATTTTTTAAAACAATTTAGTGAGATATTATGAGATGTGGTTAGAATTATAGTTTTCCCCCAGTCATTTAATATAACTCTTTTATAAATAATGAAATTAATTCATCCAAAAGTTATATGATGTGTTTATTGTCAGCAGCTTTTTTTTTTTAAGATTTTATTTATTTTTGTTTAGAAGAAATGGGGTGTGAGCTAGAGGTGTGTCTGGTGAGAAGATTCACCAGAGACAGAGTAGGTAATGGAACAAGTGAATTTACTGAAATACACTGCTTAGGGGAGTAGTGGGTGAGAAAGGAGAGGTCTGCTGCACCATGTGGGTTAGCTCCCTGGCTGGGTATTGAACTCAGGCCTAATAAGTTCTTACCCCTAGGCCACCAGGGAGGCCCATGAAGAATTTTTTGTTATTTTGTATACCTAGTTCCTTAAAAGCTATAGTATGGTTTCTTCAGTGTGTCATTTGTATATAGTGTGAGTATGAGATTCCATGAAAGTTTTCAAAATTAGAATTTACTCCATAAATAAAAAATATAGAAAATAGTTTGTCCCTCGTTACTGTTCCAGTTGTAACTCATCAAAAACCTGTTGCTTCTGTGTGTCAGAAACTCCCATTTGCTTTATATGTAAAGGTTTCTCATTCAGATTTTGTGGCAACCCAGTGAGATGAAACCTTTGAGGGACCCAACCTCTGATTTTGATTTAATTAAAAATCGCAGTTACTAAGTGACAGTGGTAGATTTCCTGACACCAAATGTTTACTGTTTTAAGCTTTCCTTTATACCCAAAGGTAATAAGCGCCTAGAAATAATCTTTGAATTTGCTCTAATACCTATTGAATTACTAAGTGATGGATCAATGGGTGAGAAAAAGGGTGTGTTGTGGAAATCAAATCTAAGATGAGTGTATAAAACTGGAATAGAGGAAATGGTAAAGGTAACTTAAGCATTGTTAAGACATAATTTGATAAATTTCATTTTACTATCAATAAAAGTGTCTGTTTTGGGTGAAATATTTTATCTTTCCAATTTTCAAAAGTAAAAGGATTGCTAACTTCATATTTTATATAAAATTTTGAATCTTGCTATTTCATATAAGCTGTGAGGTCTGTATTATAGCATATTTATGATATTACCATGATGATAATTTGATTACATTTCTTTGCTAATGTGAAATTTTTTTAAATTTCAGCACTTCAGGGAAAAGCTGCCTTCATATGGAATGCAAAAGGTAAAATGAATATCACTTGATTGATTTGCAAAATAGTTAGGCATACTTCTTTTCTAAATTATATCAGGAAGATAAAAATTAATGAACCTTCCCCTAAAGGTTATTATTGGAAGTTCATTGAATTGTTGAAGGACAAAAAGTAGTCATGAGACAGTTTTTCTAAAGTTTTCTCATACATTTTCTCATTTGTATTTCTAATCAATATCTTTAGGAAATACAGTGCTTTAATTTACTGTGCTCTACCACACAACCACCCTGGATAGATTTATATAGTTTCCCATCCTTCTCAGATCTCTGAACCTTTTTCAATTTTCCTTTGCTTTCCATAGCACTCACTACTGCTTGCTATCTTTGTATCTCCCCCTCCTAGTCCAGTGTATGTTCTTGAGGACAGAATCTGTTTTGTTCATTATGCATATCTTGAGTTAACCTTTTCTGACTTTGTATAGATCATCAGTAAATTGTTGAATGAATGAATGTCATTCTACTTCTCAGTATTTACCAGCTGTAGATTTCAGTCTTCAAACTTGAAAGTTGTTCTGATATACATAGTATGTTAGATGATAAATACCTAAAATAGATCAGTTTTCAGCTTAGTTTGTAGATAAAAATAACCCATACCATCCTTTTGAAGTGGTAAGGTGGTAGGATGGTTTTGTTAATAAAGTGACTACTGCTATTAAAAATAGTTCTTATTGAAAATTAGTGTTTATCTAAAACTTCTAAGAAAGTAGATTTTCCAGATAGGTAGAATTGGCTGCTGTCAACATGTGATCTTATTTACTTATTTTCCCCTTTGAAATAGGAATTGGTTAATATGATTGATAACCATCAGGTAACAGTAATAAGTGGTGAAACTGGTTGTGGAAAAACCACTCAAGTTACTCAGTTTATTTTGGATAACTACATTGAAAGAGGGAAAGGATCTACATGCCGGATAGTTTGTACTCAGCCGAGAAGAATTAGTGCCATTTCAGTAAGTAGAAATTACTAGTTGTGAATGTTTGCTAGAAATTACTAGTTGTGAATGTTTGTAGTGATTCTTTGATTTTGGCTATGCTGGTATGAAAGCAAATAATTGTTGGACAACAATATTTGGTAACAAAGACTAAAAAAGTTTAAGTGACCTCTGTCTTACTGAGAGTAGATGTTAATAAATTCAAGATAAATGATAAACCTATACAAATTTCAAAATAGAACTAAAAGTGAAAAGCTGATAAATTTTTATAGAAGTGATTAAAAAGTTCAAATAATCGCCATCATTAGATGATTTAAATTTTACTTGATTTATTCAATAGTGTTTTCAGGTCCTTTTTTTTTCAGTACATAACACATTGAATAGTGGCGTAAATCAGGAAGCTTTGCATATTTTAAGATGCATTTCTACGTTTTGAGTGCATTTATTTAATAAGGAAATCTATCATGAAAAGACAAGACTTTCAGGTTTATCATTTAACAGTTAATGTACGGGTGTTATAAATAACTTATTTAGATGACTTAGATATATATGTTATATAATTTTTAAAGATGTTTCTTGTAACAATGTATGTAATACATTTATTTTCATGTTACATAATTCTATATGTGAATTTAAATTACATTTAGCAATATTTTGGTTTTGCGATGATGCTGTTTATTACATACTGTATTAGTACAGATTCTATAGTCAAAAACTGCTTTAATTATGATACTGATTTCTAAAACATAAAAGTGGGGCAGCAGTCTCTTGGTGAGGTAACCATATTCCTGGAAATTGTGTAAGAAATGGAGAAAACCTGCTGTCATTATACTATGATGATATAATTCGATATAAATTAGGTTAAAAAATCCAATCTTATTTTCACTAACACAATATAGGTACTGTACTGACAGCAGGATCAAATGCTCACTAGATTGTTTTTCACTCATTTTTCCAAGACCTTCTGTATCTTTATCTACTTTACTGTTTTTTTTAAGTCGTATAAAGTAAACTAATGGTCTGAGTCAGTGTATACTGAATTGGAGAATTTTATTTCTGAAGTATTATTTCTTAAAAATTAATGTGTGTTTTTTTCTATCCCCATAAATCACTGTTCTGTCACAAGATGATTATTAATCAGTTTTGAATTACAACATTTCATCGTCAGAGCTTATCTTTGGCAGTCATAACTTTCAGAACACAACCAAGAGCTAGGAGTTAAGCAGCATAAGCTACCAAAAAGAAACAAAATATGTGTTTACCCAAATTTTATAAAACAGATACACAAGTTTTACAAGTTTAGAAATTACTTAACAATTCTGGAAAAGCAAAAATAAATGAGAAGATGCTAGAAAAAGCACTTTAAAAAATAATGACAGAATTTGTCCTGGAAGAATTTTATACAAAGAAATCAAAGGAAACCTAAGAAGCAAGTCATATGCAGCTCTTAAGACACAAAGTTTTAGATAGATAGCTCAGATTTTAATGTCACTCTCTCTTTTTTTTATATCTCTTGAAAATCTGATGAACAGTTTTTCAATGATCCCTGATTTTCATGAGCATTCAGGATGTTTGTTCTAAGAGAATATATTTTCTTTGTAACTATTTTTTCCTAATCAAAGGTTGCAGAGAGAGTAGCTGCTGAAAGGGCGGAATCTTGTGGCAATGGGAATAGCACCGGATACCAAATACGCCTCCAAAGGTAAAAAAAAAAGTTCATTTCCTGTTCACAGGTAGATTTTAGTGAAATTTTTAAACTGCAGATTTAAAAGAAAGAATTTTTTTCATTTATATTGTTACTAGAATTAACATGTAACTGTACTTCACAAGCTCGCAACACAAAAATGCACTTTTAACCCCAATTCAGATTTGAATTAACTTTTATATTTTGGAATGATTACAAAAATAACTTCTTTCCCTGGATATACATTAGTAAGCCATCATTCCTGTGAAGGGAGTTGGTATCTTATGCCTTAGTTGCTTTACTCCTCTATCCCACTCGACTTTATTTCTTAGTCCTTTTCTGGATCTTTGGATTCCATTTACCTTTTTAAATGAACAGATTTTGTTATCACTGAACAAATGTAGGACCCCAAGTTATTCAATGGTTTTTCCAGATGTTACTGTTTATACCTTTAAAAAGAAATGAACATTGTGTCATGACAATGAAAATAATGAACTTGACTATAGTAACTCCCATTCTGTTATGAAAGGGATTCCTAAAAAATTAAGTGTGAAGATTTTCGTTAAAACTGAAACCATTTTTTGAATTAAGATTTTCTTTTAAACTTTTATGGTATTAGTTAAAAATAAAGAGTTGTTAACTAATGTCTTTCATTCACAGTCGGTTGCCAAGGAAACAGGGTTCAATCTTATATTGTACCACAGGAATAATCCTTCAGTGGCTTCAGTCAGACCCGTGAGTATGTTTCCATTTAGAATATTTAATTAAATATTACAAAAGGTCTAAACTGGTTGTGTTTTGAATTTTACTGACATAAAATGCTTCTGTTTAAATTTTTTATTGAATTATACTTCATGCTTCTGCTTTAGGCATTTATCTAGTGTTAGTCATATTGTGCTTGATGAAATCCATGAGAGAAATCTACAGTCAGATGTTTTAATGACTGTAATTAAAGATCTGCTCAATTCCCGACCTGACTTGAAAGTAATATTGATGAGTGCAACCTTGAATGCTGAGAAATTTTCAGAATATTTTGGTGAGTAAAATTTGATACTTCTTTAGAAAGTTGTCACAAAGCCATTGAATTTATAATTAAGTTTTTTAAACTTATATACTGTTAGATGCAGAGTAGTCAAAATGAGTCTTTAGCATTTTGTTTTATTTTAATGTTCTACTCTCTAGCCTTTCGGATTAAATAATTGGGCCTATTCTTAGATGGTGGCATTGTCTCTACTCTTGTAGTGAAGAAATGTAGCTTCTTTGTGTCACCCCAAATAATTAAGGTGACTTAATGAAGTCAAACCACAGAGTTAGATAATTTCATACTTTTTTGTGATTTTTTTTTTTATGCACTATCACAAGATAGGGTGGTGGTTTGCTAATAATAAACATAGGAACAATAGCTAATGGAACCTCTTCTATGTGCCAGTGGCATATCTGGTTCATTAATCCTCGATACCTTATGAAGTAGGTGCTGTTATTCCCATTTTTATAAATGAGAAAATAACTGCAGAACCATGAAGTAGTTTACGCAATGTTGCATAATAAACAAGGTGGAGAGGATTTGAAACTAAATCACATTAGCTGTGAAATACTTTTTTTTTTTTTTTTTAAGTTATTCTTTGTCTCCATATAGTTGTGTGGTGAAGGAAGAAAAATGGAAGAGTTAAAATGGAATACAGCTATATTTAAGTGTTCTTTGGCCTCCTCATGGTGTAGGGGTTAAGTCTCAGTGCTATCACTACTATACCCTGAGTTCAATCCCTTGCCAGGGAGCTAACCCACAAATGGCACAGCAGACTTCTCCTGTCTTGCCCACGGCTCCCCTTAGCAGTGTATTTCAGTAAATCCACCTGCTCTGCTCCAACCCTGTCTCTGGTGAATCCTTTCATGCCCTGCACCTCTGGCTTATACCCCAGTTCTTCTATGCATAAATAAAGTGTTCTTTTATTTAGTCCAGCTGACCCTTAAAGCTTAGATCTATTGTCTTTTTTTTTTTTGGCAGGGGGGTGGGGAGGATGAGATATCTAGAACTAACATTGAGTGACTTGATCAAATAATATATGTCAGAGGCAGAGCTGTGATACCAGTTCAGATTTTGACCTCTGGTGTAGTGTTCTTTTTTCCCAGCTTACTGCTTGTTTTACTTGGTCAAAATTCGAATAGCATTTAAATTACAGTGCTAAGTAGTATTAAGAAACTTTTCAAAATAGTACAAAAAGATTTCTAAGTAGTAAACTTTCAATCCAATTTAAAGTGCTCTATTCTTTGATATTCTAGGTTACTTTGTAAAACTGAGATGTGTTTAGTTTGGTAGCAATAAAATGGTATGTATGAAGTCCAGCTACTGCTTATTTTTAAATTAGATAAGGAAATACAAGGTAGAACCATAAAAATTTTAGTACTAATTTGTGAAGTCAAGTAGTAGTAATTTACAGTCTGTTGACTTTTGTTGATATTTACAGTTTAGATATTTAAGTCTGTTGACTTTTATTAAACACTGAGTCCAGATTTATGTCTTGTTTACCATAAATAGGTAACTGTCCAATGATTCATATACCTGGTTTTACTTTTCCTGTTGTGGAATATCTTTTGGAAGATATAATTGAAAAAATAAGGTAAGTAAAACTGGGAAATGAACTAAACTAAAAAGTATTTATATGTCATCTGTCAAACATGTGGGTCTCAGAAATTCATTAACAACTTCCTTTTTAAGACATTTTTTATAAATCAGGAATTCCTAAACTTGCTTTCACATTAAAATCACTTGGAGCCTTTTAAAATCGATTTTCCCCCTTTATACTTCTTAACTAAATACATTACAAAGTCTGGATGGAAGCCAGAAATCAATAGTTTTTAAAGATTCCTAGACAGCAAAATTTGGGGACCTTTGTCTTTAGTACTTGAATTTCACTTCTGATCATCCTACACGGTTTCCATTTTCTTGTCCATTGTAAATATGAATTCCCTCTTGAGTTGTTATCCTCTCCTCAGTCTTTAATAGCTTCACTCTGAAATCTTTATGACTATAGTTCTGTATATCACAACTCTTAGACTTACAGCATCAGAACTTAAGCTTCTCCTAAATCTAAGCATGTTCTCCTATCGTATAGTATTCCAGTACCAGAGATACCTTGAACTTCGTATTTTTCAAACCAAAATCATGAACTTACATTTGATCCCCATTATGTTTCCATCAAAATATTAAAGCAAAACTGTGTCTTGCCCTAACAGCCTTATAATGGATACTGGTGGAATCTTCACCCAGTTACCTAAGCTAGAAAGCAAAATAATTCATTAACAACTTCCTTTTAAGACATTTTTCATAAATCAGGAATTCCTAAACTTGCTTTCACATTAAAATCACTTGGAACCTTTTAAAATTGATTTTCCCCCTTTACACTTCTTAACTAAATACATTACAAAGTCTGGGTGGAAGCCAGAAATCAATAGTTTTTAAAGATTTAAAAACTTACCACATTACTCTCGTCACAGTGTAGTCCCCCATCCTCAACCACAGTATTTTTTTACATGCTGTCTCTTCATTTTAGACTTATCTTGCCACTTTCTCCATCTTTTCATCTATAAAATGTTCATAATTTAAGAACAAACCCCAGTTCATTGCCTGTTAGCCTTCTTGAATACCTCTCACAGCATGAGTTATTTTCTTGTCTGGACTCCATAGTACTTTTATTTAAATCAACATTTAGCTTATTGACATTTAATGTATTTCTTTTTATTTGCTGCTTGCATTCGATTTCAGATTTTTCAAAGTCAAGGATTTTGTCCTATTCATCTTTGTAACGAGCGCATAGCACAGTGCCTGGCCTGTAGTAAACATCTGAATCTCTACAGGGGCAGATGTGGACACACTCGTGATGAAAATTTTCAGTACTCCACAAATTATTTGTTAAATAGAAAATCAGGACATGATAGTGGAAAGTGAGAACAAGAATCATAGAGTATGTATTTCATGGAGAAAAGTCAGCTGAATTTTGAGTGGACATTTATTTAACATATGTTTATTAAAGTTCATTCCTTGCACTGTACACTAGGGTCTGAACATAAATTAAGAAAAACGTGTGTGTCCTCAGAATTTGCCCTATACAGACGGAAGCATTGATACGAAGTAAGATATAGCTGTTCTGGGGGAGTGTATTGGGAAGAAGATTCAACTAGGCGAGTCAGTGAAATAGTGAAATCGGTGGGGAGAGGGGGATGTCTATGTCAGAGGATAGAACAGGCTAAAAATGAGAGAGACTGTGTTTCTCTTTCATGCTTTGCTTTTGCTATTAGTGCACTGGCTCCTCAGTTCTACTTTCTACCATTAATTCCATTTCTTACTATGACACATTTACCGGTAGTTTTCAAAGAGAATGAAAGGCAACAGCTTGACAGTAATGAAAGCAAAAATTTGGTGATCAGTAATCTAAAGTTAACCATCAGAATGGTTAATTGCTCCCTAGAAGGCAGGGAGTATATAAGGAACTGTAATTTGAGGGTCTCCTGAAGCAAAAGGATGGTATCTGCAGCCTTGTCATCCCCTAGCATCCCTAAGAGGGAAATTGGAGACAAGGAGCCTGGGATGGAAATATTCAGCAGAAGCCTACAACTATCCCCTTCTCAAAAGAAGTGCTGTACTAGAGGGAATTAGGAGGGAAGAAAGTAGGGTGAGATGATACGGAGGGCCATCATTGGGTACTTGGGGTAAAGGGTTGAAGTTACCTCTGTTTTTGGAAATGCTGGGAAGGGAGCCAACTGTGGGTTCATCCTGCTGACTAGGACTAATCTCTCTCCCAGGTTGCTCTACTTACCTCTAGTTGGTGCCTCTATATGTTCGAAGACTTAGGGGAATCCTGGGTCACAGGTACTGAATAGGGAGGGGGTAAACACCGTTGCTTCTGCTATGTGTCAGGCACTATGCTTTATCACTTTTTTTTTTTAAATTCTCATGTCAATATTGTTATAAGAATATTAGTTTCTTAGGTAAGAAAAGCAGTGGTCAGAGGTTTTTTAACCTTGTCCAAGGTCATAAGCTAGTCAGTGGCAGAGCAAGAACATCAGTCCCATTCTGACTGACAAAGCCTGTACTCCAGCTTCCCCATTCCTTCTATATGATCTCCCCTTGGTGAACTCTGAGAGAGTTTGGGTTTAAAATACACATTTATTTTTCTTTGTATCTTCTTACCCCTAGGCCTCCTAGAACCCCTCTCCCCTCCATTGCCTTCTTGGATGGATGTGCCCTCTGTTTTTCTAGCAGTCATTGCAGCATAGTGGAATCACTGACAGTGATCAACAGAACAGAAATTTGAGAATTTGCATTCTGATTCTGGCTTTGCCTTTAGCTCTTTCTGTGGGACTTAGCAGAATTAATAGTACTCAAGCATAGTTCTGCAGTTCTCTAGGTACATTATCTGAAAATCTAATGGGATAATTACAATTCCTAGATTAGAAAACTCCACTCAAACATATTGAATCCAAAGCGCAAGGGATAGGCTTTATGATTTCTGTAGTTTACATTTCATAAACTTTATAAGCTGTCTAGGAGATTTTTAATGTGCATTCTAAGTTTGGAAATCTCCTTTATTCAAAATGCATCTTTTACTAGACCATCAACTATTAGTTTGAACTTCTATTCATGTTAACTTTTCTCTTGGAGCAGACTTGAAATTGAAGGTGAAATTTAGTGTATTTTTAAATTTTGATTGCTAAAGATGATTTAGATGTTTAGGTTCTTAGAGAAATTCTTTTTTTCCTGGATGTCAGGTTTTATGTTAATAAATATTTACAAATTGATAATTATCATTCACTATAAAGTATAAGGAAAATGTTTTAAATCCTCCTTTTAAAATCTTACAGTAAATGCTCATTGATTAACTAAAACCAAAAAACAGTGAGACTTTTTAAAAATGTTCTTATTTTAGATATGTTCCAGAACAAAAAGAACACAGATCCCAGTTTAAGAGAGGTTTCATGCAAGGGCATGTAAACAGACAAGAAAAAGAAGAAAAAGAAGCAATGTATAAAGAACGTTGGCCCAATTATGTAAGAGAACTGCGAAAAAAGTACGTTTATTTTGTTTGAAAGAGAACCTAGAGGCTCAAAGACTAAAACAAAATATAGTGATTGTCTTGTTGACTTTGCATATGTTTAAAGAGAGTATTGCAAGTCTCATATTCCAGCTGGAGAATATACTGATACAGCTTGTAAAGATTATTATTATTCCAGTAATTCTGTCTGTTGATTATATACTTTCATTTGCAGATCAAGTTAATTTTAAAGATTTTATATCATGCTAAGCGTGAGGAGTCTTTACTACATATTTCATGACTTTCTATTTAATTTTGATAGATATTCTACAAGTACTGTAGATGTTTTAGAAATGATGGATGATGATAAAGTTGATCTGAATTTGATTGCTGCCCTTATTCGACACATTGTTTTGGAAGAAGAGGTTAGTGTTTTTTTTTTTTTCTTTCCTTCAAGTGACATAATTTTATACCAAAACCATGAAAAAAGAAAAATAATTTTTAAAATATGTTTTAAAAATAGCCAATGGAAGTAATTTTTTTTTAAGATTTATTTATGCATACAAGAGCTGGGATACAGGTCAGAGGTGCGGGGGCTAAGAGGATTCACCACAGACAGAGTGGGGAACAGAACAGGCAGACTGACTGAAACACACTGCTGAGGGGAGCAGCGGGTGAGATAGGAGAGGTTTGCTGCACCATGTGGGTTGCTCCCTGGCTGGCCAGGGATTGAACTCGTGCTGCAGAGGCTGCGATTGCTTCATAGTGCTGTGCTTAACCCCTTGCACCACCAGGCCCTCAATGGAAGTAATTTTTTTTTTTTGACAGTGAAAATAAGAATCTTAAAATACCTAAAGGTTTAGGTATCTTATTTGAAGGAAAGATTAAACAAATGAAATACCTGGGTTGTAAGTTATATTTTCTTAGAAATGAGCTTGTATTCTTTACCAGTAAATTAAAATTATCATGTACTTCTATCATTTTAATGGCATAACCATGCACAGAATTTTACCTTAGTTCTTTTGTAATGACTATTCCTTCCCCCCTGGCAGGATGGTGCGATATTGGTCTTTCTTCCAGGCTGGGACAATATCAGCACTTTACATGATCTTTTGATGTCACAAGTGATGTTTAAATCAGGTATTGTAGAAATATATCTTACTGCAATTCCAAGAATAGTACTTGAATCATAGGTAACAGTTTTTGCCCCTGTCATTTGAAGAAGTATTACTTCAAAGGTCATCTCAGTTTAAGAATCTTAAGTTCTAGGTCACAGATAAAGATAATCTGTATGTAATGAAGTTCTTTATGTGGTATAATTGTGAGAAAGTTTTGTATCCATTCCTAAATTTGTCTAGTAAAGTGGAGGCTTAAAGATAAGATGTTGGCATTTGAGATTACTTGATTTTTCCTTCATTTAATTGGGCAGAAAAGAAGTTTGAATTTATCCTTTAGCCCAGTGTTTGTCAGCTCTGACTATACAACAGCAACACCGTGGCATTTCTATAAAATTCAGATAACAGACCCTATCCACTCCCCAAGTCTAAGGATGTGTCCTGAACATCTGAAGTACTTAAAAATTCCTCAGGTGATTTTAGTTCTGTTTGAGATAGAGAACCTCTTATGTTTAGGTAAATGCATGGGCACATGCATTCTTTCTATAAGATTTTATTTAAAGAATTTTCAGGAATCATTATTAACTTAAATTTAGTAAAATACAAAGCAAATTCTAGTTAGTATTTTCTAGTTCTGACTATAACTGCTAACTTTGTGGAAGTGCTTATGATACTTTTTATTCTTATAAGACTCTTAAAAATTATTTTGATCTAGTTGTATTAGCTAAGAAAGTAAAGATCTGTTTTTCTTTGTTAAATCACATGGTAATTGCTTGAATTATTTACTATTCTCAAGCTGGTAAAAGATTTTTATCTAATTACTATGACTTATCCTTGTTACTTGTTACTTTAAACTTAGAGAATCATAATGAATATCATATACCATTGACTTTTTGGACCTAATTTTTTTTCCTATTTAAATAACAGCTGTTAATATGTTATTCCTATAAATATACTAGCTTGCATCTCTAAAAATAAAAGTTCCTATATAACCAAAATTCCTCTTAAAATTTAATTTTTTTAATTTTCAGACAAGTTTCTTATTATACCTTTACATTCACTGATGCCTACAGTTAACCAGACGCAGGTATGCTTTTAAATTTTATACTGTATTTCAAACTAAGGAGGACTGCTTGTGTATTTTGCACCTTTTCAAATAGTAATCCTTATAAAAAGTACTTTTTTGGGTATTTTTCAAATGAGTCTTCAGAGGGTGATTGCATAAAAACTTGAATAACAGAGGGTAATCCAGAGATCAAATTAGCTTTGTCTGAATTAGGGAAAAGTTTAAAGATTGGTTTCACCAATAACTTGCTTGGGTTTCCTGAATAAAAGAAAAAGATATGTGAGTACCAGTAAAAGGCTCAACCTAGAAATTAAGTAATCTATGACATACTGTAACTTGATGTTTGAGATTTTGACTTAACAGAATTGGTCTATTTGCAAGTATGAGATTTTTTTTATCAATACTGGATTATATTCTTAAATGTTTTGACTCTATTAGCTCTAGGGATTTACCTTACTAGAATGGATCCTGCATGTTTAAAGACAAGTTAATTTTTTGGACTTAGTACTTACAGGCACTGGTAAAATGAGATGGATTTGAAGGTCTACCTTATTTTCTAGTTTATCCACTTGTTTCGTCCCAGAATATCAAGACTTTTTTTTAACTCTACTAGTACCTTAACCCTAAGTAAGGCTTTGCCAGCTGATTTATATACAGAGTGTATACCTGAAGGAAAAGATAGAGCCAAAGACTACATAAGAGTATTCAGTGGAGTACTTCCATCTCTGATACCCTAGTTGTAAGTTACTTACTCCTTTGGTAGAGAATAAATATGTGAGTAGCCTGGGAAACAACTTTTTCTCAACTGATTTCCTTTTTTTATAAGTGAGAGAGTAAGTTTTTGCAGTTTATTGGGGTGGGGGGGCAGGAGGCAAGTAGTACTTGAATTTCAAGTACCACATCATATGCTAGTTACTTTAGTAGTTTAGCCAAGTGGTATTTGTCTCCCTACTTGCATGTTTTTGTCCTCAGTGGCATGGTTTGTAGTATTCAGCATTTGAAAAGAATTTTAATTTTTAGATCATCTTATTTCAAGTGCTATAAGTTGGTGTAGCCAGATATCTTTCATTCAGATGAGTTAGACACCTGCTTGGTAGGTTGTTGCCCTTAACCATAGTTCCTGGTAATTCATAATTCTTAACTTTAAACTTAAGATATTTATGCTGTCCATCTTCTGTTAAAAATATTCTGTAAGTTGAAATGACCATGTTAAATTTAAAATCTTGTTTGTAATAAAGTTTTGATATCTGTAGGGGATTTTTATTTTGAGAAAGGGGACTTTATAGTAATGAAATATATATTTATAAATAAACATCTTTACAAATATATCTATAAATATTAGATTCATATGTCAATGAATGAACACAGAATGCTAAAGATGAATAGTGTCTAAAGGAATTCTTCCAATTGGAAGAATACTGTATCAGAAACTAGTGTACTTTAGGAGTTTTGATGTATTTATTCTTACAGGTATTTAAAAGAACCCCTCCTGGTGTTCGGAAAATAGTAATTGCTACCAACATTGCAGAGACTAGGTAAAAATTATTTTATATATCAACTACTAGTGATTATTTTAGTTTGAGCCCCATAAATTATTAATTTTTTTCTTTATAAGGTACTAAGCAGTTTCTTAAAAGTGGTAATTTTAATATAGTCCTGGCAATGAGCATAGGTTTTCTTTTTTACTAATGTTTTAGCCTTTTTCAGTAAGTCTTTCTTCCAGTAGTATTTTTCAAAAGAAGCATGGGAACGGAAGTTAATTTTTTTTTTTTTTTTAATTTTTATCATTTTCTGGTTGGGGTGGTATTGTTTGGTAATTTGCTCATTGATTATTTACAGTCTTCAAATTTTTTCATTTAAAACAGTTTTCCTTCCCTCCCTCAGTTCTGTTGATGTTGTCTGGTTTTTTTTAATTTTGTCCATTCATCTGCTTTGTCCCTTATATTGCATATCTAGGTGAACTGATCCAATATTTATTTGTCTTTCTCCTTCAGATTTATTTTGCTTCATTAATCCCCTTGAGTTCATTCCATTTTTTGCAAATGGCATCATCTCCTCTTTCTTTATAACTGAATTAATATTCCATTGCGTATATGTACCACATCTTCTTTAATCGTTTATCAGTAGACACTTTGGTTTTTTCCTTATCTTTGCAATTGTATATAATTCTGCAGTAAACATGGTCCGTATAACTCACTAAGGTAGTTATTTAATGTTCTTTGGCTGGGTATCCAGAAGTGGAATTGCTATATTGGTATTTTTTATCTTTTTTTTAATTTTGAAAAAGCTCCATTTTTCCAAAATGATTGCACCAACTTAGTTCTCATAAATTTTCTTCCATTGTCTTACAGACACTAATGTGTAGTGCAGTCACGGTGGTTTTGTTTGTTTGTTTGTTTGTTTTAAACAGAGCTCTAAAATCACTACTCTAGGTTAATGGGCTTTTGATACATTTTTAATACTTCATATATTCATTTTCTAAACAGCATTACCATAGATGATGTAGTTTATGTGATAGACGGAGGAAAAATAAAGGAGACACACTTCGACGCGCAGAACAATATAAGTACAATGTCTGCTGAATGGGTTAGTAATGCTAATGCCAAACAAAGGAAAGGTCGAGCTGGAAGGTAAGATGAACCCTTTTGTCTAAACTTTCAAAATTAAAAAAAAATATTGTAAGATGTGTTGCTGACATTGTTTACTGGATTTGCCTTTCACTACAGCACATTTTTAATTGGAAAAGTTTGAATCATAGTTTCTTTAGAAAAATATTTTTCTACCTCTAATTCTTCAGTCTGCTTAACTAAACTTATTATCTTTTATTCTTATTAATTACAATTTTTTCCCACTTTTTTAAGCATATATTACAATAATAACTACAAATACTGTTTGAATATCAGATCATTTAATCCTTATCAAGGGGATAACTTGATAGGGCAAGACTGGAGTTTTCTCATGCAGACTTATCACTGCTGGACATTGACTCAAAAATATTTACCGTAATGGAGGAGTTTTGGCATGTTGTTATATGTGAATATAAACACACTAGGCTTCAGGTCTGATTCACAGAAGAGTTATGAAAATAAATGAAGTGTTATATTTTATCCAGTTCTTCATCCCCATTTTGTGGAGTTTAAACAGAATACATTGTTTGAATTCAAATGGAAATAATTCCCTTGTAGGATAGCACATATAAGTGCCTTCAACAAAGCCTGTTTAGATTTACAGTTATTTTGTAGATCAGAGCAAATATCATATGATTCTCAGTGGAGGTATTTTTGTTTTTAGTTTCTACAGGCATGTTATGTAATAGATGATGTGCTTTAATTAGTAATGAATAATATTTTATTCTCACAGGTAAAGGGTATCCCTTTCTGTAACAGCAGGAGCCCATTGAGATATTTCTTTTTGAAAATACACCAGTACCCTCACCTCTTACATCCATATTGAGCATTGTGCTAAGAAATCATGCATGCCACAAGTTGCAAACAATAAAAGGAATTTTCCCGCACCCTCTGAGAACTCACTAAAAAGTACATATTTTACAGCTTTTTAATAATAATATAAGTAGGATAATGTACTACCAAGATATATGACAAAGTGCTCATGAGATATTTCAAGGTTAGCCTAAGTAGATTGCTGTTATAGGCCTGCAGTCTGTATCTATAAAATAAAAAGAGGGAACCAAAATATGGGAGTTTGGGGGTATGAAATCTTGTATTTCTTAAACCTTGGACATGGGGAAAGTGGGTTAGGGTTATTCCAAACAGATGAGAAGGAATAAATGAGTAACAAAATGAAATAATTGAGCAAATTAGTTATGACATGGCTTATAAAAAATACATATTGCTATGTTTTTCTCTGAAGTTCTAAGACCTTATTGACAGCTCTCCCCTTTTTTTTCCTTTGTTCTTTTTTAGAGTTCAGCCTGGTCATTGCTATCATCTGTATAATGGTCTTAGAGCAAGCCTTCTAGATGACTATCAGCTGCCAGAAATTTTGAGAACTCCTTTGGAAGAACTTTGTTTACAAATCAAGGTAAAGTAGGTGGGAAAGCTAAGTAACTAAGTGGGGCTGGGTTCTACTTTTCATCACTTTAAAAAACAAAAAACATGGATTAATCTGGAAGAAGGAATTAACACCAGGCATTTGTTTTTTTGTGTGTGTATGTGGTAGCAAACTGTGTTTTAACTTACTTCAAACAGATTTTAATCTGTCCTGCTCTTGATCCCGGCCTGTCTTTGAATCCCAGATCCTCCCCTGACAAGCTAGTCATGTTATACTGAGCAAATTATTTAAATTAATCTCAGAAAATTCTCAGAATACACAGGCATTTAGTAAGTTCTCAGTAAATGTTAGCTATCATTATTACATCTTAAGATGTTGTCTTTCATTATAAACTACTTACCCTTTTTTTTCAGCATTTTACGTATTTGATATAGTTATTTAGCCTTCTTAATTTTGATAATTGATAATCAACTTGTTCCAGATTTTCACCAGCTACTTTTCTCCTTAGACTACTGGTAGAAAATAGTCTATTGGCCTTTTAACTCATTTTTATAGACTCAAAATACCATTTCAACTTATTTTGGTGAAATAGCTAATCTGAAAATCATGATAGGTTTGACACTCTGTGTGATTGGCATGACTAAAGTATAATGTCAGTATATATTATATGTTAATTATAATATGTTAATTATTTAACATATAATATATAACATATAAAACATATAATATGTTAATTATTTAACATATATAGTATATATGGCATATAATATGTTAATTATTTAACATGTATGTTAACATATATAATGTTAAATATGTTAAAATATAACAATAATTATTTAACATATATAATATATGTTAACATATATTATATGTTAATTATTTTTATCTCCCCCCCAGATTTTAAGGCTTGGTGGAATTGCTGATTTTCTGAGTAGATTAATGGATCCACCATCAAATGAAGCTGTGTCACTCTCCATAAAACATCTGATGGAACTGGTAAGTTTGATTATTTGAAAAAATTCTTATAGTGTTATAACATGTAAGCCCAGTAATTATAAAATTTACTGTTGTCAGATTTGATTCACTATTTGACTGTTCAGCTTAGCATAGAAACTTTGCTTTAGAAAATGTAAAGTGATATCTTTGTGTTGTTCTTATCATACTGGGAGGCTTTGACACCATTTTTCATTTTCAGTTTTTGGTAGGCTTGATTTAAAATTACATAAAATTTTGAGCTCATTTAATTTCTTTGTCTATATATATATAAATATATATATAAATTATATATTCTTGAAATGAATTTTGTTTTTCTAGTCTTTCTAATATTCTTCGTTGTTTTTTTTTTTGTCAAATTCAAGTAACAGCAATTGTGTGGACATCTTAAAAGTCATATTTTTTTTTTATTTATTTATACAAGCACTGGGTACAATCAGAAGCGCGGGAGGGTGAGAGAATTCACAGGAGCCAGAGCGGGGAATAGAACAGGCAGACTGACGAAGTACACTGCTGAGGGGAGCAGCGGGCGCGGTAGGAGAGGTCTGTGCGCCATGTGGAACCCTTGCCAAGGGCTGGGGATCGAACCGGCACTGCAGAGGCTGCGGGCAGCTTCATAGCTCAGCACTCAACCCCTGCGCCACCGGGGAGGCCCATATTTTATATTTTTGAAGGAATGCTACAAGTGTTTTTTCTCCACAATGTCTTACTCTTTTCTCTCCTACTCAATCTATCATTATACTCTTACAGCTTTATTTCCTTAGAACAGTGTTTTCTGGTTTCTTTTGTTCTTTTAGGAAGTCAGTCTTTTGAGAAATTTGTTCCAATGTATAAGTCAAGTTGAGAGACAGTCTGTGCGAGACCTCACTGAAAAACACATAGGACTGGTTTAGAGTCAGTGCCAGAGGGGAGTGAAAGGAGCTGTACGTCCAGTGTAGTAGCCACTACTCAACATGTAACTACTTCAATTTGAATTTCTAATTACATTAAAAATTTAATATCTTTTATACCCCACTTTTCAGATGTTCATAAGCACATGTGACTAGTGGCTGCTATTGTGGACAGCACAGAAATGGAACATTTGTGCCAACATTTTGTTGATTAGTGTTGAGTTAGGGGATGCTAAAGATGTATTTTACATGCATTGGTTTTATTTTTATCTAGTTTTAAATTTTTAAATTTATTTTTGCATGGAACTGGGGTATAGGCCAGAGTTGTAGAGGTTAAAGGATTCACCAGAGACAGGGTGGGGAACATAACAGGCAGATGTCCTGAAATACACTGCAGAGGGAAGCAGCAGGCAAGACAGGAGAGGTCTGCAGTGCCATGTGGGTCACCTCCCTGGCTAGGGATCAAACTCGTGCTGCAGAGGCTGCGGATAGCTTCACAGTGCTGTGCTTAACTCCTTGCACCACCAGGGAGGCCCCACTTCTATGTAGGAATTTTATGTCTTTTTCTTCTTTTTAAGATTTATTTCTCAGTGGTATTTTAGAATTCTGCTTTTTAAAAGTTTTAATTTTCTTATTAATCTGATACATAGAAATGAAACTGTTTATTCTAATAATTATATGCAGATTTTCCTGCATACACAGCACTATAGTTTTGTTCTTTTCCAATCATCTGCAACCCCTGATCTCTCTTAGCTTCCTGTGTCACATGCCTCATGAACTACTAGAATCTATACTTGTGTATTCCAAATATATAAGTGTCTTTTTTGTTTTATCCACAGTTCTTATACTATACTGGGTGGTTTTCTCTCTTAGAATGTTTTATTTCTCTTATTTTTCTTCTAGCACTTAAGATAAAGCCAAGTTGTACATTAGTTTTTGTTTTATTTAAATTGGTTTCTGCCTTTTTCTGGCCTTAAAACTTACGGTTTGATAAAGAAAACTAAAGCTGAGCACTAGTAGGTCATTTTGGGCTTTAGAGACTGAGACTTGCCTGTTTTGTTGTTTCTTTTCAGTGCAGACTAAAATATATTTAAATGTGCTGCTTTGCAATGTGCATTTTAAACATAAACTCTTACTTTACAGAATGCTTTGGATAAACAAGAAGAATTGACACCTCTTGGAGTCCACTTAGCACGATTACCAGTTGAACCACATATTGGGAAAATGATTCTTTTTGGAGCTCTGTTCTGTTGCTTAGATCCAGTACTCACCATTGCTGCTAGTCTCAGCTTTAAAGATCCCTTTGTTATTCCACTGGTAAGAAAGATACGAAAACATCATTTTCATATGTGATGTGGCTTAGATATATTTTCCATTAGAAAATATTCCATCATTCCATTAGAATGATACTCTCTGTTATATAGCATAGAACAATTTCAATTGCCTTTATCTGTCATTTTTTAAGGGAAAAGAAAAGATTGCAGATGCAAGAAGAAAGGAATTGGCAAAGGATACCAAAAGTGACCATCTGACAGTCGTGAATGCATTTGAGGTAAGAATAACTTGTTCTGGATTGTGACAGTTTATTCAAATGAAAGCTGTTAATAAAATAGGAAAATAACCTTTTAAAATTTGTTATTGTAGGTGTGAGAAATAAATTGCTATATGAAAATGTTTAGTTAGGTAAGCATATGAAAAGAATTGTACATTATTTTTCAGTTTTAGGATAGCTCATTCACCCATTTTATTTATCCTTTAGAGAAGTCAGTCTGTATTTGTATTTTGAGAATAGAACAAATAAAAAATTTTTTCTTAATTTCATTTGCTGTTATTCATTTGTGTCTCGTTTTTATTGACATTCATGACAGGTCTCTTTCTGTTTATTAGTGAGCTATACCCATATTCAGATTCAGCATTCTGATAGATTGTCATAATTATGTGTATTCAGATTAGAGAAACAACTCTTCCAAAAGTCAGGATTATCTGAGAATATTTGTAACCCATCTTTGCAAAATTTAAATGTACTTTGGTTTAGAGAGATAGCATCTTCTTACTGTAGTACTAGACTAAGTTTTACATTAAATTTTATGGGAAAGTTTATTTTTCTCTGCGCTTATTCGGTATTATTTTTCTATCACTGTGCCTAGCTCCCCTCCTCTAGCTAAAGGAAAAAAGAGAAACATTTGTGAAGTTGAAAGTATGAAACATCTTTAAAATTTTCGCAATGGCATATTTTTTTTTTGATTACTATTTTTCAACTGTGATGTCATTTTGTGTAAAAATATGCATTGTTACTATATAATTTATTTGTATACTATATAATTTATTTGTATAAATAAATTATATACAAATATAATTTATTTTTATACACCATGGAAATCCATGGTGGTTGTTTCAACAACATGATCATGGGAATTTTATGGTTTTTATTTTTACATTTTTATGTTTTTAATTTTGCATATTTCAGAATTCCTTGAGTTTTTGTACAAAGAAAGTAATAGTAATTTGATGCAAAAATAAAGATAAACTAGTAAGCATTCCTTGCTTTGGGTAACAACATTAATTTCCTTTCAATGCCCTGTAGGGTTGGGAAGAAGCCAGACGACGTGGTTTCAGATATGAAAAAGACTATTGCTGGGAATATTTTCTCTCTTCAAACACACTTCAGGTAAAATAGTGACCTTTTTTGTAATTGCATATTAACTTTTTTATTTTTTATTTTAGTAACATTGGCTATATTTTAGAAATATAGGATCCCACCCTTCAGTGTTGTACTGAGGCACACCCAGCATCATACAGAGGACCCCTAGTCCGCCTGCATAATCCATGGTACTCCCTCCCCACTTTGTTCTTACCTCCCTCTGGGTGTCTCAGTTCTTTAGTTAGTTTTCAAGGGTTTTAAGTTTCACTTTGTCCAACCCTTTGTTTGGTTTCTCTGTATTCCATATGTGTGACACCATCTGGTATTTTCTCTTTCTGATTTATTTACTTGACTTTTTGAAAGTAATTCTTATATATGTTAGATTAGTAAATATACAAATCCTTTTTTGTACAGCGATATCTGTAGCAAAAAGTTAAAAATTGTATGAATTTGTCTTAGGAAGGTGAATTATTGTCCAAATAATAGAAGAGACATTTATTAACTCAACTGCAATAAAATAAGAAAAGATGCAAAATGTTATATACACCAACAATGTATAAAAGAGGCAAAATTCCAGAGTATAGTGGGAAAGTGCAATAGGCCTTGGTTCTTGCCCCACCTTGTGTTTGCCATTGTGATGATTCAAGCTGAAATTTTTTTTTTTACAATTCACCCATTTATTTTTTTTAATTTAATATTTTTTTTTATTTTTACATCATTGTTCATTTTTTAAACAATATTTGCTTCTCCCCACCCCCTCAGGTGTAGTCCCCATAGTTTCCTTCACCAGTGTACCAACACACCATCACCTCAGTCCCCTGTGTTCCTCCCTCCCTCCTGCTGATCCCTCTCCCTCTTCCTCCCCTGCAATATGTCTCTGATTTGTAATTGTCTGTTTTTGCTTTGTTGTGTTTTGTACTGTTATTATTTTTTTACACTGATGTCTTATTTGGTTCCCCTATATTCCTGCTATAAGTGAAATCATCCGATATTTTTCTTTTTCCTCCTGGCTTATTTCACTGAGCATAATTCCTTCTAGTTCCATCCGTGTTTCTGCAAATGGAATGAGTTTATCTTTTTTGATTGCTGAATAATATTCCATTCCATATATGCCACATCTTCTTGATCCAGTCATCTTTTTTTGGGCATTTGGGTTGTTTCCAGGTTTTACCTATTGTAAATAGTGCTGTAATAAACGTAGGTGTACAGGTATTCTTTTGAATCAATGGTTTTGTGTCCTTTGGGTAGAACCCTAGTAGTGGAATTGCCTGGTTGTATGGTAGGTCCATTTTTAGCAGGTTGAGGAATCTCCACACAGCTTTCCATAGTGATTGGACCAGTTTGCACTCCTACCAGCAATGTAAGAGAATTCCTTTTTCACCACATCCTCGCTAACATTTGTCGTTCAAGCTGAAAATTTTAACTGGTACTCCTAAAATCAATTTTAAAATATCAATTAGGGTGAGTGGTGAGTATCTTTAGTTTAACTTTCAGATAGGTATCTTTATCTTTACCTGTTTGATAAGCAAGAAAACACAGTACAGGATGTGCTACACAAGAGGGAAGTGAACAAATAAATAGGGTAGTTACATTGGGTTGTCAGAAAAGTCATGACATATTTTTTCTGTTTTTCAAGCAAAAATGTGTCTGCCGCGGACCAGCACAGCAGTAGACGATGAGGCCGTCTCAGGGTTGAGAGACTGCGTAGGGTGGTCAGGGATTCGATTAAAGAAATGACAAACAGACACACTTCAAGAGAGAGTGTAAATCTGAGTGCGCCTTTATTAAGCTAGTGGTCAGTATATATATGTTTTTTCTAAAGGCATAGGAACAGTGAACATCAAAGAGATCAGTTTGCTCATAGTCTTAGCTTAATTGACAGGGCAGTGATTTATGTCTGAAGTTACATCTGGACCTAGCCTCATTCCTAATTGGACAGGCTATAAATTCTTTCTACTGTTCTATATAATTATTTTCTAGTTGCACTAACTATCACTATTACTCATTTTTACTCATAATTAATTGTCATGGGTGAATTTATTTTATAATGCAGTTAATATCATAGGTACTAAAGTCAAGCACATAATAGAAAGATTATTAAACTAACAATTCTATTATTACACAGTGTTTAGTAATGTTTCATTTGGATTAGCCTGTTTATTAAATTATGTATGTTTTTTAATTAGCAATCAATGACCAGAAAAAGGAAAGATTTTAGAGAGACAGTTGTAGCAGAATAAAGTTTGTGGGCCTTGAGAAAGCGAGATAAGGTTCCAGGTGGTCAGCATTTCTTTTAATCATCTTTGTGGCAGCTTCTGGTGGTCATTATCTCTTGGCAGGCATTCGGCTTCTCTGCATCTTAGGGAGTTTGCTGTTCTCCTCCTGCGCGCATGATTCCTTGCCCACGCCGGACCTCAGGGACCATGGCAACAGCCATTAGCCCTGAAGGTCACTGCAGGGGTGGGGTGCAGCATGTGTCATGACTTTTCTGACAACCCAATATAACAAACCTTAATGTCTACGTTGGAGAAGTGAGCTCAAGTCAATGGAATAGGAATATCCTCACATTTTCCTAATAGATGTTCATTTCAGCTGTGTGTCACTAACCTATTCCTAGACATTCAGCATATCTACAAGGTGGTAAAAGAATCAAGAATCTAGCACATCTAAGAAAATTGCCCAAACTTTAACAAAATGGCAGGGGAATATTCATAACTCTGAACAATACTGTAGACAAAGGGGGAAAAAAGGTAACACAACATGTCTCAATAGAAAGTACTTTAAACTGCTTTATAAGAAGGAACAGTTTAAGGAGAACATGGACTCAGTAAAACAAAGGTAAGAAAATAGATTAATATAATGAATGAAAAGACTGCTGCGCTAAAAAAAACAAAAACAAATTGAGATCAAAAGAATTGCACAAAGTGCAAATCCTTAAAACAAATTATTGCCAAAGAAGAAAGGTATGAGGTAGAGTTTAAAGATAGGGTTCCAAAAGAAAGGGGGAAAAAAAAATAAAAGGCAATAAGAAGCAGTAAGTACAAAGCTTACAGACAGGAAGACATTACAGGACCATCATGAAGATAATGGGTGTCTATATAAAAAAATCAAGTGTCATTGAATGTGTGTATTCACAGATATTTATAAAAACAATTTTGTGAAGTAGAAAAATAAATGAACTACAAATATGAAAAGATGACTGCATCCAAGTATTATTTGACAATATTATATTCAGTCAAGATACTGAATAGTAGGGGCTTCCCTGGTGGTGCAGGAATTAAGTCTCAGTGCTGTCAAGCTATAGCCAGGCACTGCAGCCTGAGTTCAATCCCTGGCTAGGGTGGTGACCCACATGGTGCAGCAGACCTCTCCTGTCTCGCCCACTGCTCAGCAGTATATTTCAGTCAATCCCCCTGTTCTCCTCACCCTGTAGTGAATCCTCTCATACTGGCACCTTTGGCCTATTCTTGTGTGCATAAATAATGCATAAAAATAAATTTTTAAAACAAGATAGAAGCGTAACTTATAAGAAAAATTAGATGGGATAACTGAAGTCAACATAATTCATAAAAGGGATATTTAAATATAATAGACTTTTTCATACTGTCTTATTTTAAGTACACAAGGATCTGTTAAGTATCTCTATGATTTATGGGTTCATTTCTGTTTAAACTTTCTTCAACTTGAACTAAAACTAGTATTCTTTTATAAAAACTGTATTCTGATGCCATTGTTAGAATAGCATTTCTATCTAATTTTGTCAATATATATGTATAATAGTGGTAAAGTATTATTTATCTAGTTAATAATTACTTCTTACTGCATTGAGTTTAGGGAGCTTTATTTATTTGTACTTTTCTGTACAATTTGATTGCTTTATAATGAGCTATGTGTCATTTTTACCCAAATAGATGAAGTATTCCTTAAACTTGATTAGCTCTTCTTTACAACAGGCAGAACTTTTCTGTAAAATATCAGATGCTAAGTATTTTAGGTTTAGAATCATGTGGTCTTTGTTGCAACCATTTATACCTGCCATTACAACCATAAAACAACCAAAACAAAAACAGCCATAAATAAAATAATGGGTGTGGCTGTATTCCAATAAAACTTTATCGACCAAAGCCATGGTTTTGTAAATTTTTCAGGTGTTCAATTCCTGCTTTAAAACATCACTTGTTTTACAGAAGTGTTTTATAAAGCAAGAAAAGCTTGTGGCTTGATTTATTTAGGAGTCTCTGCTTCGTAGCCACTATCAATCTCTGTAAAAGGTATTCTAGTTTTGTTTGTTATTATTGCTCCCTAGATGCTGCATAACATGAAAGGACAGTTTGCTGAGCATCTCCTTGGTGCTGGATTTGTAAGCAGTAGAAATCCTAAAGATCCAAAATCTAATATAAATTCAGGTAAGGCTAAATATATGGTATAAATAACTTGCTGCTATCATACATTGTTTCAGCATTTTACTTCTTTTTTCTTTGTCTTCCCATCTCCAATAGATAATGAGAAGATAATTAAAGCTGTCATATGTGCTGGTTTATATCCTAAAGTTGCCAAGATCCGTCTAAATTTGGGTAAAAAGAGAAAAATGTAAGCATTGAAGATTATTATGAATTGGTTATAATTCTCTCCTTAAGCTTTTGACATCCTCTAATGTAACAGGAATTATAATTTTGTTCTTAATATAGGGCAGTATACTTTTCCCTAACAATACATCCCTGAGATACAAGGAATGTTAGTAAAATATAATACACTGTAAATTTTAGAAAAGCATGCCGGCTGTTAAATCTTTTGAATAAATGCTTAGAGTCAATTTTGCTTAAGGATTTTGTTTTTCTTATAAGATGGATAATTTTATAATTTAGTTCTCTGAATAAAATTGTGATTTGACCATTTGGAGTAATAAAGTACAATTTTCGTGTTTAAATAGCCTCAGTAGGAGATAACAGGTTGTATTTTTGCCTAGTAAATGAGCTGCTTTTAGTAAGAAAACAATCACAAAAGGCTAGTGGCATATGAATTGGTGCTACCCTTTTGGAAGGCACTGTGAATTAGAATTATGTATCAAGAGTTATTAAAATGGTCACTTCTCAGTGATTCATAAGTAAATATTTCATTTGAGGACTGTTTTCAATAAGCCACACAGCAGTGTGAAATTTATGGCTTTGTGATTCTATGTCTTATAGAACCTTTCAGTACTTTGCCAAATTCTTTCCTTCCCCCCACACCCCAAATTCTTATTTAATATTTCTCCTTGCTCTTAACAGGTAGCTTACAGAGAGACTCTTTGATATGCAAACATTTTATTATATCCCTCTATCATTTGGGAAGGCTTTATGACAAAAATTTAATTTTCTTAGCATCAGTGCTTTGTTTTGGTCTAGACCAAGGGTCAAAAAAAATTTGCATGCTGGCCAAAAGCTTGTTTTTATAATACTCATTTGAACATAGCCTTGCCTGTTTATTTGCGTGTTATCTGCGTCTGCCACAGTATGAATTGAGTAGGTATGTCAGAGATCATTGAATCCACAAGGTTAAAATATTTCCTCTCAGACCCTGTTGCTCTAGTGATGTAGGGTTGCAGGATAGAATTGGTCAAATTGACTTTGCAGTGAAGGAAACAATTTCTGATATTTTTCTGAATAATGAATCATAACACAGATTCATGACTTTGGTGTTAGGGATTCCTGCATCCTTGAAAAAGATACCCTTTAAATCAAATCTGATACAGGTAACTACTGTTGACTTTTTAAAAAGTAAATCATCTTCCTTACAAGTAATATTAATTAGGCTACCGTGAATCAAGTTGTAAAGTCTTTATGGCTAATAAAGAGTAGACCATAGAAATTAAGAGACTACAGTAGACATATGTAAGAGTGCATTTATTTCAATGTTCCTGTTTCGAAATTGAGGGATTTGAGTGAAAATAAGGTCATTTAAAACATTTTTAAAGTGGTTTTAAAAAATTAGTTGTAGCTAAAATCCCTTTTAAATGAAACTTTTTTTTTTTAAATCTGGGTGCATAACCTGTGAAATTTTTTAATTCACTTCATGAAATTCTCTAAATTGAGGACTATTTGTGAGTATTATGATTGATAAGAAAATGTATACTGCCCTCTTGATCAGAATCACTTACAATTATTTCATTCTTTATCCTTTGTTGCTATAATAGAAACATAATTGCAGAATCTTTTACAATTGCATGAAGATTCCTTATTGAGTAGTCACATTTTGCTAGTATTTTTCCATGCTTTAGCAAAATAAAAACTTTGTTCTTTCCAAAAATATATTATATTGTTCTTTCCAAAAATAAAATATAAAAATATTTATATTGCAAAACTAAACTCATCCATGGAGTTGTTTTAAATTCTGTAATTGATTTGGAATCTCCCAGAATTTTTTTGACAAACTCCATTTTTTTTTTAAAGGGTGAAAGTTTATACAAAAACTGATGGACTGGTTGCTATTCATCCTAAATCTGTTAATGTGGAACAAACAGAATTTCACTACAACTGGCTTATTTATCACCTGAAGATGAGAACAAGTAGTGTAAGTGAATATATAATCGTGAATTTGGACATGTCTGTTTTATAATTGTTTTGTTTTTACAATTATAAACAAAATTTGTTCTTTTAAAAAAAATCTGACATGAATTATGATTTCCTTAAATAATACCTATGATTTTTATTTATTTTTTTTAATTTTTTTTTTTTTATGTATAGAACACTGGGGTGTAGGCCATAACTGTGGGCACTAGGGAAATGTGAGAAGATTCACTAGAGACAGTGGGGAGCAGAGCAGGCGGATCTACTGAAATACACTGCTAAGGGGAGCTCCAGGCGAGACAAAAGAGGTCTGTTGCACCGTATGTGGATTAGCTCCCTGGGTGGAGCTAACTCAGGCTTCAGTGGTGATAGCGTTGGGACTTAACCCCTGTGCCATCAGGAAGGCCCAGTAACCTATAATTTTAATGTGTAGGTCTGTTATGATTGTATTATAATTGATTGGGATAGTACTTAATTTGCATAATTTTCTTTCAGAGCCTTCTTTCAAGAAATACTGGTATTTTATGGTACTCAGGAGTTTACTCTGTGCAAAGAATTTTTTTAGCATATCTTATAAGTATCCATCAGAACGTTAACTAAAATATGTTAATATTTTAGTTATTTAAAATACATTGTTTAAAGAATGCTGCTGTTAAATTGAAACAAACATAAAACTTATGTTCTGAATTATTGAAGAATAAAGAGATATTTATTCTCAGTCTCTGTAATTATAACAGAAATAATACCTACTTTAGAAGGAAGTGCTAATTGATATTGGTGGTATTACTGAAATAATGTGGCAGTAATCCTTTGAGACTCCCAAAGGTATCAATATCCTTTTACGCTCATTGCAGATATACTTATATGACTGCACAGAGGTTTCCCCATACTGTCTCTTATTCTTTGGAGGTGATATTTCCATCCAGAAGGATAATGATCAGGAAACTATTGCTGTAGATGAATGGATTGTCTTTCAGTCTCCAGCAAGAATTGCTCATCTTGTGAAGGTAACTGATTTTTCATGATTGTCTTTGATCTACATGCAGGTGAGCAGGTAGTCTTGTGGTTTTGTTCCAGATGTGTATGTATGAAACACTTCTAGACATTTCAGCAGAGTAAAGATGTTGAGAAATAGATTCATAGTTTTTCCACATTGTTTTTTGTTTAGGTAGTTACAGATCAACTATTCTAATGGTTCTGTGTTACTAAAGTTTGAATTTTTTAACTTTAGTTCTTAATCATAGCCACAGCTCACTTAGTTGCTTGGTAAATATTTCAGTCTTTTGTATTTCCTTTACCATCTAGAGTCACTTCTACTTATTATGTTGACAGTACATCAGCATTTTTGAACGTGTGTAATTTTTCCAATGTTAGGAATTAAGAAAAGAACTAGATACCCTTCTGCAAGAGAAGATTGAATGTCCCCATCCTGTAGACTGGAAGGACACTAAATCCAGAGACTGTGCAGTACTCTCTGCTATTACAGACTTGATCAAAACACAGGAAAAAGCAACTTCCAGGAACTTACCGCCACGATTCCAGGATGGATATTACAGCTGACAACTTTTCTGTGCTGATCTGAAAAGACAGTTTAACAGCCACTTTTCATCAGTTTAATTTTTGGCTGGATGCCCAACCCTGGAACATGAGTAATTTTCATATGCAAGGTAGAAACCTTCAGTAGGTAGTGAAAACTTAATGTGCATGACTTAACAATGTTATCTGTAGCTATTATAAATATATCAGAAAAAGAAATATGTTCTCTGATCATATACTTTGATGTGTTGTACCACTTGAGAAATTGCTTTGTTTTGTTACAAAAGTTTTCCTGCCCACAATGACTGATTAGCTATAAAACCAGTAAAAATAGATTGGTTAGCCAAAAAGCAGTGTCAAAACCAAATTTGAACTTTTTTTTCATTTTTTTAATGAAATTTCTATCAGAAGTAAATAAAACCCAGTATCTAATAAAATATGCAGTGTGTTAATCTCAGCTAACTTTTGGCTTGGTTTCTATATTTCCACTTATCCCTTGGTTTATTTGATTTTTTTTTTTTATCTTTTTAGAATATATTTATACTCCTTTTGCATCACCCTATGTAGCATAATGTAGCAATTGACAGTGATCACCTAAATTAAGCTCTGTTCCTTATTTAGATGTCTTGGGCAAGTTACTTGGCTTCTTTTACTTTCTTTATCTGTAAAATATAGGAAACAGTTGTGAGGATTAAAGATGTGAACATGTAAAGCACATAGACTAGTACTTGACAGGTAGAGTGTACTAACTAAATCTTAGTTATTTTTCACTGAAATTTTTTTAATAACAATCCATTATTATACTGTTTTCTAGTCAGTGCTATTTTACTCTCAGCCAATGAAAGCTAGTGTGACGTGCTTTATTTTTTAGCCCTATCAGATTATGACAAATGCTATTGTCATTTTTCAACAGCCAATTTGCCCCTCTCTTATTGCTTATTCAAGTGGTCCCTTTCCGTGCAGCCTGTTCCTGGGTATGTTGAACACACTTCCCCACAACAATCACTTGGGGATTGTTCTAAGCCTGACATGGTCTTACTCCCCTTGAAGTACCTGATGAGGTATGAGAATGTGAATCTGTCCTAGCCAGTGGCAATTGATGAGATATGCAAGGGGGCATCTTCACAAATAGAGGACATTTTGTTTTCTTTTGTCTTTGCTGAATCTGGTACTGAGAACTGCCGCAGCCATGTTAGGATTCCAGTGAATGCTGAGGTTGAGTCAGTACAAAGTTGGAAATCACCAGTAGTTGGTCATGTTAGTGAACTGCTGAATTGTCCAATTCTAGAGTGAGCTACATAACGACTTACCTTGATAGTAAAAAAAAAAAAAAAAATCAATTATTTTAGCCACTTTTAGTAGAATATTTTGTATAACTTGGAAGAAAACAACTGAAACACTATCCATCATTGCTTGAGCCAGTATTTCTACCATTTATTCTGTGATCTAACAGTTTCATGAAAGATATAAAGGGGTAGTACTGGACATATTGTAAAATAAAAGCAAAACAGAAAGAACATCTTGCTGCAACCTAAAAAATATTTTATTGTGCCTTCAAACAAATACAAAGGAAGAGGATCATACAATGGCTGGAATTTCTTGATAAAGCTGTGACCATCAGTTAACAGGTACTGCTCCCATTTATGGGATTATCAGTCATCTATCAATGCCTTCCAAGGTTTGGACTGCAGTCTGTGTCCGAGTCTGTTTTCTTGACTCATCTCCCAAAAGTGACGTCTCTCACTGAATTCTTCCTTTGAGTCATATCACATATTGTCATTGTTAATTTTGTCCCTGAAGTCAGGGTGACCATTGGGTCCTCTTTGCTCTCTAAGAGTGTTTCTGCTTGATCTCTTCTTTTTTGGCTTTTACTTGGCCATTTAAATTCAGTCAATTGGCCAAAATGGTCTTGAAGGAAAGCATTCAAAGAATCTGTAAGTGCAAGTTACTAGTTCATTGGTTCTATATTTGCAAACCCTATAGAGGGGGAAATTATTCCCAAAAATTGTTTAATAGATAAGATATTCAGAAATTGTAGCAGTTACTATCACCCCTAATTTATGTCTTCAGCTGGTCAGGATGAAATTCTATTCAAAACTGCTGCTGTTCTATTCTTTTGTTTATAAAAAAGTGTTACTGAGTGGAAAATATGTTTCAGGTCTAAGAACTGTTATTTGCTGGTTTTAAAGAAAAGATATTAAATTAAGAAGGAAAACCTGTTTGCCTCTCTTGCCTGAGTGATGCAGAGGATAATTCTTGAACAATTAATTCTGAAACAGAAACTTATGGGAAAAAACAAACCACTGAATAATCCTTAAAAGCATCTTTGAGAAGTGAGCCCTAATTCATGAACTTGGGCAAAAGCTTTATTATACCATTCAGTGTAAGTGGTTTTCCATTCTTACAGTACTTTAAAAAAAAAGAAAAATTGCCCCCTGAACATTTAAAATTTATATAAAAGCTTTGAAATTTATTTTAGTACCCACATACCCAAAGATTACCTTCTTTTTTACATTGAGTTTATGTATATTTATTTTTAAATAATTGTGATCATGTGGTATAATCATATATTTACAATACGCTAATTGTTAAGTAGCATTTTTGTTCTAATATTAAAACAATACATCTCGTAGAATTTTTGGAAATTGAACATAGAAGCATGTTATTACTTATGTTTTGGTATATCCGTATTTTTTTAAGCTTTAAGTTATTTTATATATAATAAAATTAGCCAATTTAAGTGTATAATTAAGTGAATTTTGTCAGATGTATAAAGTCATGTAATTCCTACCTCCACATTCTTCACATTCCTATCTCCTAAAAATTTCCCTTATTCCCATTTGCATTCAATCCCCTGGCCCTTCTTCTACCCACTGGCAACCACTAATCTGCTTTGTGTCCCTAGTGTTGCCTTTTCTAGTATTTCAAATAAATGAAATCGTATGTAGCCTTTTGTGTCCAACTTCTTTCATTTAATGTAATGCTTTTGAGATACTCATGTTTTTGCATGTATCAGTTTTTTATTTTGCTGTGCATTCTATTTTTGGTTGTATCAGTGTAGTCATTCACCATTTGCTGAAGTTTTGAGGGTTTTTCCCCCCCAATTATAAAGTTGTGATGGATGTCTCTGTTTTCATTTCTCATGGTTAGGACTGCTGTGTCATGTGGTGTGTTTATAAGAAATTGCCAAACTGATTAACAAGGTGGGTATGTTATTTTACATTGCCTCTGTCTATTTATGAAGATTCCAGGTATTTCAAATCTTCCTTAGTACTTGGTATTTTTAGTTACTTGTTCTTTTAATTTTAGCCTTTAGTGTATGTGCAGTCATATCTAATTGTGGGTTTAATATCTATTTCTATTGTTTACTGTCTTCTGGACTTATATAGAGATGCAGGAAGTTAAATTCTTTGACATAGGAAATGGTCAGAATGTGCCACTGTTTAAGTTGGCTGGTGCACTGTAGTTAAAGTCACTTATTAAGTGCCAGACAAGAATAGCACCGCTTTTATGTGTTTGTGATGGCACCAGTTTGTATATTCACCATGAGATGAAGAAGGCATTGGACATTTCTCGGTTAAAAACACGAGCTAAGGAAGACAGCTGATGTGGAAGCATAGCAGAACCAACCTTTATCGTGGATGTTAGAATCCTGCAAGTCTTGCTGAAGTAGGGAATTTCTTTTACATTGTGACTATTTTTTTCTAGTTTTTATTGGTTCGTGTTTTAATGACAAAAACCCATGGTTTTCCTACAACTGAAGATCAGCAAAATATCAAAGATGACTTCTAGTCTTAGTTTGAATTTTTCCAAGTATTTTGACTTTTCCAAATAGTCTGCATCAATTGATAGAACCATGTGGCTTTTTCTTCAACTTCTTTGATTTTCAAGTATTAAGCCAGACTTGCATTATTTGTAATAACCCAGTTAGTGTGATTTTAAAAAATATATTGTTTGGGGTCTTTCCGGTGGCGCAGCGGTTGAGCGCTGGGCTGCGAAGCTGCCCGCAGCCTCTGCAGCGCCGGTTCGATTCCCGCCCCGCCACCGGGTGAGGGTCCCACATGGCAGCACAGACCTCTCCTGCCGCCCGCTGCTCCCCTCAGCAGTGTACTTCGGTCCTTCTGCCTGCTGTGCTCCCCGCTCTGGCTCTGGTGAATTCTCTCACCCTCCCGCGCTTCTGACTGTACCCAGTGCTTGTATAAATAAATAAATAAATAAATAAATCTTAAAATATATATATATAGTTAGATTAATTTGATAATAATCCATTGAAGATTTTTGCCTGTTTATACGGATACAAGCCTGTACATAGTTTTCTTTTTGTGGAGTAATGCTAGCGTCATAAAATGAGTTGGGAAGTGTGTTGACCTTTTCTTGTAATTTCTCAAAGAGACTGCGGAATTGATTTTTTTTTTTTTTTTGTGGGACCAGGAATGAACCGGTGCTGCAGAGCCTATGGGCAACCTCGCAGCCCAGCGCTCGACTGCTGCGCCACCAGGGGAGGCCCTGCAGAATTGATTTTAATTCTTTAAATGTTTGGAAGGATTTCCCAGTGAAAATATTTGCACGTGGAGATTTTCATAAATTTTAAAGTACAAATTCAATTTATTTGGCAGTTATATAAGACTAGTTAAGAGTTTTGGTAGTGGTTTTTCATGAACTGTTTCATCTAAGCTGTTAAATACCTGTGTGCCAAGTTGTTTTCAGTATCCTGTGTCTTTTTAGTATCTGTAGAATCCATAGTATTTCCTCTCACGTTATTGACATGAATAATATTTTTTATCAGTCTTGCTAGGAGATGTCAGCTGTGTGCATCTTTACAATGAATCAGCTATTTGATTTTATTTTTACTGATCTTTATACTTACCCTTATTTCCTCCTGCTTTGAGTTTACTTTGTTCTTTATTTCTAATGTCTTGAGGTGTTAATTTCTAGTTGATACTCTTGTGCTGGCTGGAAAACATACTTTGTATAATTTTGGTCCTTTTAAGTTTATCAGTTTATTTCGTGACCCAAAATATGATTTGGGAATGTTCCATTATTTACATAAAAATAGCATATAATCTGTTACTGGACAGCATGTTCTATAAATGTCATTTAGATTCCATTCCTGGAGGGCATTCTGCTTTATAACTTTTAACATTATTTCATGACTTTTTTTTTTTTTTTTCTTTTTGTTAGCTTTTGATCAATGTATTTTGAAGATTCATTATTTGGTACATACACATTAGGCTTATGTTGTCCTCTTCATAGACCTTTTTATTATTATATAGTTTTCCTTTCTGTTTCTGGTAATTTTCCTTTCTCTGAAATCTACTTTATCTGACTTTAGTACAGGATCTCCCCCATGTGGTGTTTCAATGGTTGTATAGTTTCTTCATTTTTCTAGGTTGCCCAATTTAATGGCACATAAATGTTCAGAGAATCTCTTATGAGCCTTTATATTTCTGGTCATCCATTGTAACTTCTCTTTCTGATTTTTTAATTTTTTTTTCCCCTTAGTATAGCCTAAAGGTTTATCAATTTTATTTTCTATCACAAGGCTGTGGTTTAACTGCAGGGATGCTAGTGAACTATCTAGCATTTGAGAGTGTTGCAGGCAAAATTCTGCCATGATCCCATGATCTCATTATGCACTTCCACCCCATCAACTGGTGTCACATTGTGATTATATTAAATTGTGTGGCAAAGGAATTTTGAAGATCTAATTAAGATCCCAAATCCACTGATTCTGAGTTAATACATAAGGGATACCATCCTGGGGGCATAATACAATTAATTATATGAGCTCTTTAAAAGCAGTTCTCACTTGATAGTGTAAAATAGATTTCAAGCATGAGAAGGATTCAGCATGTCACAACTGCCTAGAGGATGGAAGGAGCCACATGGAGGAGAATATATAAATAGGTAGGAAAAGCTGTGAGCAATACCCCTCTGGCAGCGAACAAGGAAACAAGGACCTCAGTCCTACAACCACAAGGAATTGAACTTTGCCAATAATAGATATGAAAGAATAACCAAAAGATGCTCCAAAAGATGCTCCAGCTGAGAAAGGCTTTCAGTGTTGTGAGGCTCAAAGCAGAGAACCCAGCCAACTCATCCTGGACCTCTGACTACAGAACTGAGAAAACAAATGGGTACTATTTTAAGTCACTAAGTTTATGATGCTGTGTTAGATAGTGAAAGAAAACTAATACAGAAGGGATGTGCTCCAGGGTCCAAGTGGCAATTAGGGAACTGAACTTTTTTTTTTTTTTTTTTTAAAGATATATTTATTTATACAAGCACTGGGTATAGTCAGAAGCGCGGGAGGGTGAGAGAATTCACCAGAGCCAGAGTGGAGAGCAGAACAGGCAGACAAGATGAAGTACACTGCTGAGGGGAGCAGCGGGCAGCAGGAGAGGTCTGCACGCCATGTGGGACCCTCGCCTGGTGGCCGGGGATCGAACAGGCACAGAGGCTGTGGGCAGCTTCGCAGCCCAGTGCTCAACTGCTGCGCCACCAGGGAGGCCCGGGAACTGACCTTTTTAAGATAAACTAATTCAATGATGCAGTTCTGTGAAAACTGAGAAGAAATAGCATGGCTCAACTCTTAAATGTGCTCCAGCCTTTTAGGGCAAGTTATGCGAAATGAAAGATTAGAATCCTTCAGTCTTAGCTGTAGATACCCCAATACCAAGCTGTTTGAGATGATTTGTAGGTTAAGGAAAAGAGGGCAGTGAAAATTAAGAGAACTTGGTAGTGAAAACAGCGTTCTTAATATTGGGTTATTGGAAAACTCATGACTTTTTTTTTCTTTTTTTTTTTCCTCTGTTTTTCAATCAAAAATGCATATGACTTCTTTGACAAACCAGTCATTAGTTCAGAACAACAGGAGCAAACCAGACTGCAATAGGGCATAGTCTGGCTGGTCCCCTAATCTGGAAGATGACAGGCTATGGGTTATGGCTTCGGTAACCCCAAGCACTGCAGTGTACAAACAAAAGACATTTTCAGTGAGGAAATACCAACCAGGTATCTAAAAAGACATTTATGTACAACATATCAGGAGCCTTAATGACTGAGGCTGGCTTTATTTTTATGGCCATCCATGAGAAGAACACAGGATTAGGAGTCCACTCACAGTCCAGAGCTGGCAAAGAAGTTTGAAAATCAGATCTGACTTAAAGATACCTTTTGGCCAAAACTTGAGCTATAAACTTAAGTGAATACCTTGTACAGTAAATTAATCACACCAGCACGAGAGAACAAGTCTATACAAAATCTTTATAAATTCACATATTTCACCAAAAGTGTACAATCAGTCTCAATTCATAGGGACAAAAATGAATATTTTTCCACAGGTCACAGGTCAATGAATAGAGTCATTGTACAATTCAGAGAAACTTAATGGAAACCCCACTAGGTTTGAAAACAATCCTGTGTCATATAAAAACAATACATGGATGAAATTAAACATTGTGAGTGTTAAACACCTGCTGTAAAACACTATTTAAAAATAGTACTAACCTGTGTGCTAAATAAAGTTTTGGTTTTATATGATGCACCTATTTCCAAAACTGTTTAACATCTCTACTCAGATGAATTTAAAGAATTTGTATAGTTGCTTTTTAGCTTCAACTGAGTATTAGTAAAAATAATACCAAATTTTCCCTTTTCTAGCAACACATTTCCCTTTCCTTAATGAAAACATGGCATTAGATTAGATCACAACATTGTTAGCCTCTCCACTAAAAAATCCATGACATTAAAGAGGTTGAAACTTCTCTTGCTCCGCTCCACTGCTATTACTTCAGACAGAATGACTCAGGGCCTGCTGTGTCTGCTACACTGGAAATGTACGCATAGGTACAAGAGAGCAACGCAGGGGCTGGCAGGTGCAGGTGCTGTGTGGCGGCTCAGTGCTTCGGTGGCAGGGCGCAGGGCCTTGAGCCAAGCACACTCACCTCCTGCACTAGATTTCTGTAGCTTTGCTCACGATTTGGGGTCACAGTAGCTGGGAATGTCTCATAGATCCGAGTCCTTGACTAATATAGCCTTTGCTAGGTTTAATCCCTTTTTGGAAGAGAATGGAGTGTCGAGGAAACATAGCTGCCAGTACAATCACTTCCTCCCTCTCGATTCCAAGGCCTCCTTTCCTCTTCATGAAATGTACTATCAAAATGATGGTCAATAGAGACTAAGTATGAAAGAGGCTCCAAATCCAGCAAGCAAGGCTTTCGTGCAAATCAAAGAGTTTCCACGTAGGTCAAAATGTTGTTTCAATTAGGTACCATATTAGCTTCTTTAATAACTGCTAGGCACTAATTTTATCTTTCAGAGTTTTAAAGGGTTTTGCAGCCAATTTCTTATTTGGAAATGGGAGTAGGAAGAGTCAAAACCTTTCATCATTGAAGGCAGAGCAGCCTCACGTCAGTCTATCAGTTCATTTGGGAATATAAAAAAAAGTATGCCTATATTTAGGATATTTTCAAATATGTGAACCATGTCACTTAAAGTAGCTGACTAGCTTAGTTTTTATTAGGCTGTAAGACCAATATTGAGTGAGAGGTATTTAAAACAAAACCTGTAAGTCTCTTTAATTTCCTTCTAACGAGGATGGAAGTGGTAAATATTCAAGTGTCAATATCCCTTTCCTGGGAAGAGGCTTAGAAAAACTGACCAGCTCACCTTCTGAATTCTACCAGTTCCTTTCAAAAACAACAGAGCATTAGAATCAGATCTAAATTTTAAGAGGCAGGAAAAATATTTACAAAACTGGGTATTCCTTCAGGACATGAACCCTTGCTAATACTGGGAGAACCATAGAAAGAAGATGTAAGAGACAGCAAAGCTCTTGGTTAAGTAAAGACGGAGAAAACCAAGTCACAGACATCATCACTGTTTATGCCAGAACATGGCGGCACCAAGAGCATAATCGTAGTCTGATCTCTGAAGTGAATGGCTTCGCTATTCTGTGAACCTGAAAAGGTTTGTAAGTGGATCATTGTTTACAAACTGAGTTTTGTGAACTGAATCTAGTAGTAGTTCTCCTGAGAGAGCATAACCACCTGGCAAGCTTAAGGCAAGTGTTTTCATTCCTGTAAATAAATCGGCTGTGTTAAAAATAAGACAAAACCAGCCCAGAACCAACCAGTCCACCATGACGTAGTGCAAATCTCGCAGTAATAAGAGGCCATCAGAAAGGCTACACGTTAGTCTCCAGTCCTAGCAAACGTCCCATTCTCTCCACATTCTTATCAATTGTAGCTTGACATGTTATTTCCTTGGCACATTCCATAGGAAACCAGCCCCTTTCTCCATCTCGTAGTCGCTCCCCTTCATACCAGCCTGCAAAAAACGAGTCTTCATGAAGCAGCAAATATTGGGACAAATTTGACTGCGTGACGGCTTCCAGGAGGATGTGAGTACATTTGAGAGTGGGCAACCTGCCAGTTTGTGCATCATGGATGATGAAAGGTGAGGAAGAAAGTGGAATAGAGGGAAAAGCTTCATGGGGGAGTAATTCAACTAAGGGGGCAGAACTTGATCAGAGGATCGAAAGAGAGTAGGCTGAGAGAGTATGGAGCTTGGGCTGGGCTACAGAAGGGGATGCTTGGACACAAGCAGCAGGTGAAATGATTTCTTCTTTTAAAGTAAGGATGGATGAACTTCTGGGGGTGAGAACTAGGTCACTAAAGGATGGGGGGAAAAAGGAAAAGCTTTGGTTGGTTCCTTTTGAACAGCAAACCCTGTGACTATATCCCTATTCAAAAACAGTAAAATTGAAGGGATACAGAATACTAACATTAAGTACAAAACGACAGTCCCGGGTTCTATCACAATGGACCACAAGTTCCTCCTAAGAACACACCACTCACCGTCGCTGACACGTTGATAGATGAGGACCACATCTGCTACCTGCAGGGAGAGTTCGTCTGGCTGCTTGGCAGTAAAAGATCTAATGATTTCTACCTGGGTCAATGCTGTGGAGGAAAGTGACACATTGAGCTTCCCTTAGCAGAGGAAAAGTAAAACATACAAATTAGCCATGTACACACACTCAGGCTTTTTGTGCAATTCAAGGCGAATAATCAGAGTAGCACTGAAGGTAAACTTCTAAAAAGCAGCAGAAAGTCTTTCCCAGGCACTCTCTTACTTGGCTAAGAATTTTAGGCAAGCTCGGAATCAAGACAGGCCTTTTATGATGCATGAATTCCCTCAATGAGCACTGGTAAGAACCAGTAGTCATATCACAAAGTGGAAGAGGAAATAGCCATTGTTTGGGGGAAACTGAAGCAGGAAAGAATAGATAATGGGCCTGGGCCATGAACTGATGATACAACACCTGACCTACCCTCTCAGGCAAGGTGCTTCCCAGCCCACCAGTAGCTGCACATGAAATCTGCCCAAATTTAGAAATAAAATTTTTAACCAAAAGTTCAGAATACATTTTAGAAGGTCCTCCCAATGCTGACTCGTAACAAAAACAGTCAATTTTGGTGAGTTGGTACTGACTGACATGATTTTCCTTAGAAGACTTGATTTTTTTTTTTTTGAAGATTTATTTATACAAAAGCTGGGGTACAGGCCAGAGGCGCAGGAAGGTGACAAGATTCACCAGAGAAAGAGCAGGGAGCAGAACAGGCAGAAGGACCAAAATACACTGCTGAGGGGAGCAGCAGGAAAGAGAGGAGAGGTTTGCTGCGCCATGTGGGAATCTCCCTGGCCGGCAGGGAATCGAACCCGCACTGCAGAGGCTGCGGACAGCTTCACAGAGCTGCGCTCAACCTGCGGCGCCACCGGGGAGGCGCAAGACTTGATTCTTAAAATAAAACTTGATTGTGGAGAAATTTCAAGCCAATCATTATAACTTTGATGACTCTAAGCTTAAACTTAAGACTCTTGAGTGCTCCAGGGTAACCATTTTTGCTGCCCTGATCTTTGCATTGGTCCTTCCAAGCAGAATCACTCAGAGAATCGTAACATCGACATTGAAGCACTAATACCATAACACTACCCTTTACTGCCAATTCTTAGTTTTCAAGTAGAGTGAAATACATTGCCTAATATCACTTTAATAAAAAAAGGTGAGAAGTAATCTTTCTAAAGGCTAAAAATTCACTTAAAGGCTAAACATTTCCACTTAGATCCAGGTTGTCAGTATAAGGCTTAAAGATGAAACTTTTGCCCATTCACAAGCAGTGCTTTCTGTGTTCATCACTTAATTGAACTTTCCTAATAACCCCCTGTCATTTGTAATAATGCAAGAATTTGCCACATTTATACGACAAAGAAAAACTGCACCCTAGATGTGAATTCAGACCCCTTGACTTCCAAAACAGGGATCTCTTAGTTCAGATGTAGAGCAGCAGGAAGGAAACCACAGAGGAAACTTAGAAAGGGGGTATTGTGGGTGGTAAACCATTAATACCCAATGTCCAGCAGGGGGCAGAGTCCCTCCATGTGCATAGAGTGGGCTGTCCCGCCTGATACTTACAGGTTCGCTCTGGCGGCTGCTTCCCACTGCTGTGTCCCAGGGCGGTGATCCAGCGGGCACGCTCGCTCCTAAATACAGAGGAGAAGCGCATCCAGTTGAGATATTCAAGGTGTTTAGACACAGAATGAAGTGTGTTCTAGAAAACACAGCCATTCCCAGAAAACAGATATTCTCCAGAGAGTTAAGGGACTGGCCTTCAAAACAAGGACGAGAGTTATTTAAACACAATAATCTGGGAAATCTAAAACAGGCTTAAAACTAGTTATTGTCAAAAGATTCTGAATGAATTTGGCAAGGTACTAATTAAATAGAATTTCTCACATGACCGTTTAACATTTAATAAAGAGCTGATCACACTAATCCATCAAAATCACATAAGGATATTTAGTACACACAATCAACATGCAAACCATTTCAGAAAAAATGAGAAACTTGACATTTTAAGTTTTTTTGCTCCTTATACAACCATTATTGCCAAATATGAAACTTAGTGAGGGAGAAATTCTTTGTTTGACCTTTTTTAAAACTGTTTTCAAATGCATAAAATGGTTTCATGAGAACCATCAAAAAATATTTTAAGGAAAAAGAAACCCAATATTTTCAAGCAATATTAAGCTGTAGTTACAAATAATAAAATAATTATTTAACGAAAGGACTAAAAGTTCCAGATAAGTAAGCACTCCTCCATAATAAATAAAACCCCCAGTTTTTGATTGTAAAGTATTAGGATTGCAATTAACTAAATAACCCACACACACAGTGTTGTTTAAAGTCTCTTATGAAGTATTTGTTAAACCCATGCTACGTGTCAGATACAAACACCTGACTGAGAACTACGATTTCATGTAATCCTCTCAAAAGCCCATTTTAAGGATGAGAAGAATGGACAGGAGTCCCCAGGTAAAACAATTCAAACCAGTCAATTTTGACCATTTTCAGAAGCAACACCTCAAGGCACACTGCTTAAAATAAAAGGCTTTTTCCTCCATAATGGCCTGAACCTACAGCTACTTCTCACTGCCACGTTTGTTAACTTCCCAATGCGTGTCCTTCCATCCAAGCAGCGTGCGCTACCTACATAAAGGGAAACCTTCCTGCTGTTTCACCTTCCCTACTTGTCCTTCTCATGTTCAAATATGAGCTGCCCTGTACCCAGCCATGCCCATTCAATTTCATTACTGGAACTTTTTTAATTGAAGCACATACATAAAATAAAAGCTGCTTTAATCTTGAGTACACACAGTTCTGTGAGGGTTTACTTATGTGTGTGTGTGTGTGTGTGTATATGTATATATAGATATATATACACACACTGTGTCTACACTTGCCGCCAGATCAGGATACAGCTGTGCCAAGAGGTTCCTTTCCTCCCTCCCTTTCCCACCAACCCCTACCTGCAAAGGTAGAGCTTCTCTAATTTGCATCACCATGGACAAGTTTTGACTGTCTTGTCCTTCAGGAACATGGACTCCAATGGCCTGTCCACTTTTGCATCCAACTGCTTCTGTTCAACACATTCAACACACTGCCCAAATTCCCCAGGAGGTCTCCTGCAGTGTGTGAACCTCACTCTCATCCACATTCAGTCTGATAATCCCATTCCCACGCAGCCTTCCCAAGGCTCCTCACACTGCTGGAAGCCTCGTTGAACATAGCACCGTACCTGTTCAATTCTCTGCATTTCTGCAGAGCACTGCCCGGTGCCTATCTCAGGGTCTCCGTAAACATGCTCAACCAGTGAGTCATCATCACTTACTGTTCACTGACCCCCAACCATTGACTGACTTCTGTTTCTCTTAGGTCATCCGCTTTGGGTGGGCAGGAATCCAATCTTATTCTAATCAATATTCATAACCGGTATGGAACTTGCTAGTATTTTCTGAGTACCATCTAATCTAACATTATTTCATTATTATTTCCATTCCTTTTGAGGACAAAGCTGAAGTTTCATGCATTATACACCAGTTCCCAGTAAAATGGTTAGGTATGGAGTCAAAATCAAAACCAGGCAGCGCCAGTTCAATCCCCAGCCACCGGCGAGGGTCCCACAAAAACAAAAAAAAAAAACAGGCAGTATGGGATCTGAAGTGTTTACGAAATGCTGTGGGAATTAGGAAGGGTAGGAGCTATAGGATGCTGAAAGACAGACTCAGTTAAAAGAATGAATGAGGTTGGGCCCTGGTGGAGCTGGTATGTCAAGTAGTGACATGTACAATTTATATAGAAACTTACGACATGGTTTTGATTTTAAAAGCTTTATCTCACCCTAATACAGGACAGAGGGATTTAGCCTGGTCTTACAAAGGACACATAAATTACAACTTCCTTTAAAACAATCCCAAGCAAACATTTAAAATCTTTGACAGCGTCTCTCTGTTGGGTAATATCTATTTTTTTCACTCAGGCTCAACTGGAATTTCCAAAGCACAAAGGCAACTGAAAGTGAAATAGCATCTTGATATGGGAGAGTTGTTCACCAGAGAAATCTGCAATGGTCCATTTGAGTCTGGCCTCATACCCAGGCAAGTTTGACTTTTCCTTGGCTTACCACAGGTCTCTACACAGCCCTTCCTGCTGCGTGCAATCCTTCTGATGCGATCCCAGGCACAGCCCATCTCTGGCATGGAGTGGGCACTTTCAGCAGCAGCCTCAGCCCCCAGCCAGTTTCCAGAAGTGCAGATGAAACCTTTCACTCCAGTGGCATGCTGCCGGGATGCTAATGACATCCCTTAGACACGGAGGCCCCTCACAGGGACTCCAGAGGACAGAACAACACACTCCTTGTTGCCCTCTCTGAAAGGAGCCGCTTCTTGAAATGGCTTCAATTGAGTCAGTCCCACCCCCTCTTAGATGCTGTCAAAACCACACGACTTCCCCTGAGGGCTTCCAAGAGCCCTGCCAAGGAGCTCACTCCTAGTAAGAAGCAGAAAGCACTCGTCTCTAAAGCAAAGAGGAGACTTACTCGATGCATGAAGGAATTCTAAGAACAAGAAAAATCAGAGCAGAGACAAACCTTTTATTAGATTTAGATATAAAATCCATGACTCATGTGCAGACAGTTGTTTTGTCCAGGAACACTATGAAATAATCAAGATGAATTCACAATCCATCTCATGCCCAGTTGAAAGATTTCTCCCTTTGTTCAAACAGCAATAGAGTAAGTAACACCACACTCATGTCAACCTCAGGAATATCAGTTCCCAAGACTCGCCTGTCCACTCTGTCCTTCCTCTGCATGGCCCTTTGCTAGGATGAGGTTGCAAAGTGAATGAAAACGGATCACTTGCTCTTCACAGTTCTCAGTGCGATAGAGTAGCAGAAAAAGACAACAAAACCACAAAATCCAGCATGCGTTGTGCTGTGACAGAACAGTGCATGGAACCCAAGAAGAAGTAAGACTGAGCTGAAAAGCCTCTTTTAACATAAATATCTGTCCATTCAGTCCTTTTATCACCTGCAAATTCTCTCTGGATGGCATGGAAGGACACAGCAATGTTTCCCTAACTCAGGAATTAGCTATGCAGCCCTTGCTAACTCATATAATGAAGAACAGTAGGTTTAAATTTAATCGCAAAGAGGCCAGAGATACAACAAAGGCAGACTCCCTGAGCAGTATCAGGCACCTGCTAGATCGAAATACCTACTAGGAAAATGGGAAGCAGACTTTGAAAGAAGATACAAGATTACGGAGGAGACTGAATGGAATGGAGTTTTCACCAAGAACTTCATCCCTAGGGGTCTGTCTGACTTTTCAATAGACATGAAGAGACCTCAGGTTCTTTTATCCCTTTTCTGACCAGATAGCTTTTGTGTTTCTCCTCTGAGCCTATACATTTACCTGTTTTCTTTTGAAATTCCTATACACTAGCCTTTGGAAAAAACCCTCAAACCCTTGATAAGGACCAGGGGTATGAAGACAGTCATTTTTGTTCATTCCCTCACATTCAGTTCAACAGGATAAGCTCAATAAACTGAACCATGAAAGAAAACCAACCGGGCACAAAAGTCATCCTGTGTGCAGTGAGCAAAAGTCTTCTAAAGCTGAACACCAGCTCAACTTACCTAATTAAACAAATCTGACCAAAGCAAAAGAATTCCCATGGCCCAATAAAAGAGCTCTAAAATTTACATTTTGTAGCATATTATGTAGTTAACTCAATTATTTCTTAATAGATCAAGCAACTCATGAGGTCTCGAGTGTAGTCCAGAATCCTGGAGCTAAACTCACGTCAATATTCTGTTTCCTCAGTGATAAATTTCCAGGGCATTACCTGACCTCCTGTTTTGTTGAGGTTGGTAATGAGGAGTATGAAAAATCAAGCACTTTGCTGGGTACTGTATGAACATAAAACATTATTGAACATGGACTTCAGATTCAAGAGGAGGAAAAAAATTCCAGTAAGTACTGAAAACAGTAATAAGTACATTTTTTCCCCATATAAACTGACACCTCTTTAGGGGCACTTTTCTCAAAGGATGAGCATATGTCAGACATACTATTTACAATTTTATTCCATCCCATTTATTTCCTGTTTTTAATCAAATCATTAACAGAAGCAGGAAGAGAGCAAAAAACTCCCTACAAACAATGCCCCTTTATCTGGAGGCCCGGGAATGGGTCATCTGAATGGCTGATAGGACCAATCACATTCAATTAGGCATTTAGTTCTTTGTAATAGTGAAATCTTTTATTACAACTGAAGGTGAATATACCCTATAGCGAAATATGATAGGTAAAGAAAGTTTGGGTCCACTACTGACCGTGTCCTGAGGATAAGCTTATCACTGCAGACACTGGACTCAAAAGCTACCCAAATTCCACTGTGAAGGCAGGAAACCAGGGCCACCATTGTCACAGCCTCTGCTCTGTGCCAGCCTCAGCTGTCTGTGCTTCATTTTAATAAGGCAGACAAAAGGGTCTCTCCAGCTCCCACATTCTCTTGAAAGGCCCGGAGTGAAAAGAAATGGCGGTGGTAAAGCATTCTTCCTTTGTCCTTTAAAAAGGGCAAGTTTTTGTATTTCTCACAGACTACTGTCTTGTTAACAATACAGTGACTGAAGTGTTAAGGGGGCAGATGTCGCACATATACATAACTTAGATATACATCTTTAAAAAGTTTAACCACATCCTTAAGAGCAAATGTTGAAAACAAACGGAATTGAGAGAAAACTTGCTCCAATAGCACAAAAAGGACACTGTCAGAGAAGCAGTATTTCCCCTACACAGAAGTACAGAAAAGTCTTAGCTCTAGAAAGGCTGATTATATTGATTGCCAGTCAATCCCCAAAATATTTGTTGTAACTTCATATGCACAAAGTGGGAGAAAGACAAAGCCAGAGCTGAGGGTGGGGGTTAGTAATAACACCAGGGGGAAACCTGGTGAGCTCCTTCAATTCTGAAGTTCCATCCTTCTTGAGAAACACCCACTGGTGCCTCCTTTACTTTTGTTATTGGCTCCGTGCCTGGCACATCCCAGATGCTAAGTGTTTACCCTTTTTCCTTTAGGGAGCGTTTCTGCATTCTTTAGGTAAAAGTCACTTCCATGGTTTCACTGTCTCACAAGAGAGTGAGCCAAGCTGCACACCTTGTGCCAAACTGCACACCTCCCACTGCAGGTTTTAGATTTTTATATCAGTTTTTCAAAGAAGGTAAAAATATCTGGCATGAACCCTATTCTTTTCAACAAAAGATTAAGTAGCCAAAGGATATGTGTGATCGGTCTGAAGATCCACAATTACTCAAGACGAGGCGTGGTAAAAACCTGGTTTTCTCAGTGAGGTTACGAGTGAATCATAGTAACCATATACAAAATAAGAGAAAGAAGCCTAACAAAAAACCCACATATACTCACATGAACATTCTGCAAATCACAGAAGCAAACAATTCACATAGTGATTGCTCAAAACCGGGTAGCCCAGAGCTGACCTGCAGATTTCCAAATATGGCATCGAACAATTTGAACAATGTGACTTGTAAATAGCCAACATTTTTATTTTTAAGAAACGTGCATCTTGGCCATCATAAATTGTCTTTCCACACTAATGCCCTATGAGCTTAAAAGTATTTGCTCGTTTATTTAATTTTCAACTGTAATTGAGTTGGTGGGAGGCAAAGGAATGAGGGAGTCACTCACTCCTCCTGTACCCAAGGAGACATCTGCCCCTCTGCCCGCTCTGGAATGTTCTCTTAATTAAAGAACTACAAATATGAGTCATACCATGGGTTTATGGATGACATAACTAGATATTCTGAGAACATTTCTGACTGCGGAAATGGCATCCATTCAGTCTATGGCAAGATCAAAAGGCAAGAAAATGGAACATCTGCTGCAGACTGTCCCAGAAAAGCATCTAACCTTGGTGTCCAAAGAACTGGACATGTCAATGGACTTCCCACTCCCTTGGATTCATCTCAGAAACAAGCGGTGGAGATTATATAAATTACGAATGAGACGGTCAGGAAAAGATCTGGTAATATACTGACAAGGCCTAAATAAAGAACAAATATCCACTGGAACACAAAATCAGAAAACACAAGCCAAATCAATGCCACTTTCACTATTACTCATTAAAAATGATGAAATTAAAACCTCTAGTTTCTGAGAATTTTCTAGAACTTCTGGACGAGCACTAATCTCTAAAGTGTTTCATCTTTTTCATCCCTAAAGTCATAAAATCCAAAGTTTGGACATGTTCAATTCTCCTTTTAAGAGAGGCAGCCAGAGGGAGGCTAGGCCAGACTTCACTGAGCAAGAGGTTTAATCACCTTTAGAGTAGAAGAAATAGCTTTGCAAGCCCTGGTTTTGGACATAAAACAGCCTGCACCAGACCCACCCAAAGCCCCCTCCTCAGGAGAGCAAGGCAGTCTTGGAATGTGTCAGGATATCCCAGCAGTTTCAACAGAAGAACTGCAGAGCAAAAAACATTTCTTTGTTTAGTAAACAAACACATATTTTGAAGCGCCTTCACTTATTCACTCCTCTGTTGGAACACTCTGTTGTGGGCTGTCTCGAATCTCAAATAGCTTACATCAACCTAAGCTTATTAGTTTCCTCTGCCCTTTGAAAAGCTACCTCTAGTGCCAAAAAATATGAAATGATAATTTAATCATTTAATGTGGCTATTTCATAGTTTTAACATTTTTCTGATGTCTCTCTAGTGATCCAGTGAACACGTAAAATATTACTAAAATGTGGACCTAGCTCTCAGAGAACCTTGGTGACAGACTTGGGTTGGCTCTAGGACCCCAAGAAGACAGAGAACTTGGGGACTTCTTTGCTCTATTGCTCTACCCTCTGGCCCAACATAGCATCTGCCCATGAAGACTGTTCCTACAGGAAGTTTCCAAATTATCTTTGAACACTAGGTTTGAACTGTGCTGGCCACTTTTACATCCACTTCATTCTAACAACGGGTCCTGCATTTGATAGTGGCTGACTGAATTGGTGGACATGGAACCAGGAATACGGAGGGCCAGAAATTATTTATAGATTTTTGATTGAGCCAGGGTAGAGCCACCAAACCCTGCGATGTTCAAGGATCAGGTACAATTGCTCAGCAATCTGAAAATGGATCAAATCATAGGGGTGGGCTTGAAAATTAAGCCCCCATCCTTTTATCCATTATGATGATGGACTGTGCAATAAGTTGTGAAACTGGAAACAGTTTGACAGTTCATCCTCTGCATAAACTCTGGATGAGACAGGGGAGGCATGCACACATTTCCCTCAACTGGGCATTTCTTTCATCAGAAAGCACCTTTTGCTATTTGGTTGAAGGCTACTGATTACAAAATGACCTCAGTTCTTTCATCTAAGTAAACCTGCATTTGAGACTAAAATTGTCTGTTGGGTTTTTATTTCTAGGGCTCATATTTTAATAGTGACTGAAATAAAATGATTTTTTAAAGATTTATTTTCATTTATTTATGCATATAACAACTGGGGTATAGGCCAGAGATGTGTGGGGTGAGAGGATTCACCAGAGACAGAGTGGGAAGCAGGACGGGAGGATCCACTGAAACACACTGCTGAGGGGAGCAGTGGGTGAGACAGGAGAGGTCTGCTGCACCACATGGGTCAGGTCCCTGGCCGGGTATTGAACTCATGTTGCTGTGGTTGGTGATAGCTTGATAGTGCTGAGACTTACCCCTTGCGCCACCAGGGAGGCCCCCTGAAATAAAATGATTTTTAAACCCCTTTCTAAACATAAAAGCATGCCACCATTATCAGAATTCAGAGATGGAAAATAACAACATTCACCTCTTGAGTCACTGAAAGGTTCTCAGTGAAAAGACTAGCATTGTATAAAGCACCCAAGGCTGGGCCTCCCCTATGGCGCAGCGGGTTAAGCACCGTGGTGTGAAGCCGTCCACAGCCTCTGCAGCGCCAGTTCAATTCCCGCTGGTCAGGTAGAAACCCACATGGTGTAGCAGACCTCTCCTGCCTTGCCCGCTGCTCCCCTCAACAGTGTCTTCGGGTTGTCTGCCTGTTCTGCTCCCCGCTCTGTCTCTGGTGAATTCTTTCACTCTCCCATGCCTCTGATCTATACCCCAGTTCTTATATAAATAAAAATAAATCTTAAAATAATAATAATAAAGCACCCAAGGCTGGTGCCTGATAGGAATCCAAGAAGAAAAAGCACAATAGCTACTGTCTCCCATTTTAGGAAGTCTGCAGACCCAGGCACTAGACAGGGAGGACAGTAACAGATGCACCGAAGCTCCCACACATACTCACTGCGTCTCAGCCCCAAGCAGCATCTCCACTTTGTCGTTGGCATGGTTACTCAGGACCGTCAGAATGAAGAGGTGGTTGGCAGAGCTCTGCCTGGAGTAAAGCATCGTGGAGCTGTTCTTCCCTGGAGAAGAAGTGAGTTCTTCATTGTCACAAGATTCCACCAATAGCTGATCTCTTAAGGAATAATCATTGACGTTGTAACTTTCTTCACTATAAGGAAAAAGGAAAGGAAGATGTCAATCAGTGGATACACTGACACTGTTCGTGTTTAAGTCACATCTTGGGGAGGGTGGCAGGAGGGGGAGGAAGGGTGGACCCGGACAAAATGATTTACTTTAAAATATAAATGGGACAAAACACTAACAAAGATGTAAAACAATAGAACTTCAAGTAAAAAAAAAAAAAGGAAGAAGAATATGTGAGTTGTAATTTAAATTATATGATTAAGAATCAGGGCCTCCCTGATGGCGCAAGGGGTTAAGACGCAGCACTATGAAGCTATCCGCAGCCACTGCAGCATGAGTTCGATCCCCAGCCAGGGAGCTGCCCACATGATGCACCAGACCTCTCCTGTCTCACCCACTGCTCCCCTCAGTAGTGCTTTTCAGTTAGTCTGCCTGTTCTGTTCCCCAGTCTGTCTCTGGTGCATCTTCTCACCCCACCCGTGCATCTCTGGCCTGCACCCCAGCTCTTGCATGCATGAATAAATAAATCTTTACAAAAAAGAATCAACAGCCACCCTCACCAAATTAAGCCTATTTATTACTATTTTCCAGTGATAGACTAAATTGTATCTAAGATATAAAAACAATATTGAAAACAATGATTTAACCCATTAGGTTTCATTTTACATTATCCTGGAACTTGCTAACAAGTATGCTAACATGCCACATGGTAGTGCTTGAACAGGCACACTGTCCCCTATCACTGCTCATCCAAGACCCCAGTCCTGCATCACTTGGACTCTCACAGCACTGAACCGGTCTAATTGACCCCTACCCTGACTTCCTCAGCTGGCCACTGAACCCCTGTCACTGTTTCCTATGGAAATGCAACTCATCTAGGGAATACAGCACATCTCCTAAATACTCAGCCTCTTCCCTGAACCACCCCCCCTGCCTTTTGGTCTTAAGAGAGACATAGCTTTCCCTAGAGAACACTACCTCCCCTGAAGGCTCTCTGCCAACTGGCTTCTCTTGGCTGCTTTTTTTTTTTTTTTTTAAAGATTTATTTATTTATTTATACAAGCACTGGGTACAGTCAGAAGTGCAGGAGGGTGAGAGAATTCACCAGAGCCAGAGCGGGGAGCAGAGCAGGCAGAAGGACCGAAGTACACTGCTGAGGGGAGCAGCGGGCGGCAGGAGAGGACTGCGCGCCATGTGGGACCCTCCTCCGGTGGTTGGGGAGCAGCCGGGGATTGAACCGGCGCTGCTGAGGCTGCGGGCAGCTTCGCAACCCAGCGCTCAACTGCTGAGCCACCGGGGAGGTCCCTCTTTGCTGCTTTTAGAAGATGATCACTTCCTCCTCCAAAAATGTCCTCAGTTTGGAAGCTCATGCTATCAGTTTACCTCATAATCACAGTCACCCACAGACACTAAAGCCTTCTTTCCCCTGCTCATGATTTCATTGCTGGCTCGCCATCTCTCTCCAACGCTACTTCTTTCTTGGATTCCCACACAGAAGATCGATCCTTCTATTGTCCTGACCTCTCACACCTTTGTCTTACTCTCCTGCAATCACCTTATCCTGTGCCCTCCTTCAGCAAACTCTCCATGGTCATACCCCAGACCTTGCTATTACCAACCGCTCTGTAATCCCAATTCTGAACAACGCTCAATGACCAGCAGGCTGTCTCTCCAACTCACCCCTTCTAATCCTCAATCCTCTGTGTTCTTCACCCCACCAGTTTCTATTACCCATTGACTTTCCCTTTTGCCTTAAACCCTCCATGTCCTCTCACTCGTGTGTATTAAATCAGTCCCTAGTCACAATCACTTCTTGCAGGCAGGGCTGATCCCCTGGCAAACTTCAGCTCTGGGTAGATCCAGCTTTACCTCTGCATCTATGTCCTTGTAATTGAACTTGAAGGAGCTCAAAAAATAATTGGAGAACAAGTGGAAAACTATGAAATGCATTCTAATATATTCTAAGAACAGTACTGAACAATGACCTTATTTAATAAGAATGCAAATATGAACTCGGAAGAGCTGGAGAAAAGGAAAACTTGGCACCTCATCAGCTGTATTTAGAATTTTAGAATAGGCTACTTTGCTCAAGATTTCTTTCTTTTGGTGATGGATATCTGCCTGTCAACCAGTCCCATGTAACACTCTTTAAAAAACCTTATGATCTTTTCCTAAAATTTAGCTTGGGGGATTTACTCCTCAGATTAGCAGCCATACAATTATCTATAAAAACAAAATGTGGCATTCTTATCAAGCATAATAGTTCCTAGCAAAGTAACCTATATCAGCTGCAAGTTCATATAGCAAGATAGTTCCACATCTCTGCAGAGCCTGCCTACAGACCAGCATTTCCACACTCACGATACCAAAATTATTTCTTCTATCAAAATGAGTTTTCTCAAAGCTGACATGATTGTTATAAAAGGAAGAGGCAGAACAATATACTTTATAAACAAATCAGGTTATATATTGAAAAGTCCATGTTTATCAGAAACAAAGCAAGCAGGACCCCCCTAGTGGCGCAAGGGGTGAAGTACCGCACTATGAAGTGATCCGTAGCCTCTGCAGCACGAGTTCAATACCCGGTCAGCCGGGGAGAAACCCACATAATGATGCAGACCTCTCTTGCCTCGCCCGCTGCTCCCCACAGCAGTGTGTTTCAGTCAGTCTGCCTGTTCTGTTCCCCACTCTGTCTCTGGTGACTCCTCTCACCCCACCCCCCTAATCTCTGGCCTGTACCCCAGCTCTTGTATGCATAAATAAATCTTAAAAAAAAAAAAAGAAACAAAGCAAGCAATGTTGGGCAGTGTAGAAAAAATCTGACATGCTGTCCACTTATCTCAGACATGGTTATAGAACCAGAACAAAACCAGAAACCAAAAATCTGAAAACAAAAGCTACACCTCAAAAACAATATAAAAAACAACAGAAAAAAAACAAGGCAGATGGTGGCTTCCTGGTTGATTGTCCTCTCTCTGCATCTTCTAGCTACTCTTGATCCAACTCACAACTTAAAAAAGATGACTTGTTACTCAGACACCTACCTCTAGTTAAAAATAGTTCTGCAAGAATCCAAGTACCACAGTGCTGTGCACAGGGGTATTTAAGTAGTGCCCTAAACAGTGACACTGTATAGGTGTTCTTTGTATTGCCAAACAAATCCAACACAAAGAAATGGATATGCTTGAAAGCCATCACTCAAGGTGACTTAAATTCCCAAAAGTTTTCAGCATAGTTCTACAAAGCCACCTTACAGTTGTTCCCATAGAATTTAAGACCAGGTAGACCACCAAAGAATTCAAGAGAAGGAGTTCACAGGAAAGGACAGCAGTCTTGCATGGCTTAACGATGGGGGCACAGGTTCTGAGAAGACATCTCCTGTGATGTCGTCTGTGTAGGCATGTCACAGGGTGCAGCTACACTAACCTGAAGCACAGCCTACCACACTCTTGGGCCAGGTGGCAGAGCCCACTAGGACCACTGCTGCACATACAAACGGCATGAAGCAATGCATAATTTATAAGCTAATATGAATAAATTAGTTCAGTCTTCTCTGACCCTCTTGTTTTTCAGAGTTTGTCATTTCCCCAGGGTGTGTCTCAAACAATACCAGCTCAAGTATTTCATCAATGATTTGAATCTTTGCCTTTGGGGAGTGATTAGAGACAAATGAAGTGAATAAATTAATAGAATTTTTTTTAATTGTTTTCTTGACTGATGACAGCTTTACAAGCCCATGAAGAATTGCGGTGATGTTTTGGGCCCAGTTCATGTCTGTTGGCCTCTTAAATTCCAGTTTGGATAATATGCCACAGCCACCTCATTCATAGTTGTGTGAGTTCCCAGCAAGGTGTCCTCTCCAACACATCTGCATGTCATTAAATATGCCTGAACAGGGATTTATTGCCACCATTTCAACTTCTAAATACAATGTCAGATGCAGGAAACGTGTCTGCTTTTTCTTTTTAAAGCTGACTCAGTAGCAGTCATCTGCTATCACTACTTTATTAATACCTGTAAATCTCTTCATTATTTAAAATAAATCCTGTTTACAACTTCACTACTATTTTCATGAATTTAATATATAAAATTTAACATTTAACAGTAGTGAAGTGAATTATTTCTTTGTTAGCTACTTTTCAAATCCAATAAAACAAAAACTGAAAAACTTTTGCTCTTGTTAATTCATATGTGTGCTCACTCTCTCTCTCACACACACACACACACAAACACACACACACATACACAATCTCATAAAGTAAACGTTCAAAGTACTAGTAAGTAGGGGCCTCCCTGGTGGCGCAAGGGGTTAAGACACAACCTACGAAGGAAATCCGCAACCACTGCAGCATGAGTTCAATCCCCTGGCCAGCCAGGAAGCAACCCTCATGGCGCAGCATACCTTTCCTGACTCGTCCGCTGCTCCCCTCAGCAATGTATTTCAGTCAGTCTGCCTGTTCTGTTCCCCACTCTGTCTCTGGTGAATCCTCTCACCATCCACACCTCTGGCCTGTACCCCAGTTCTTGTATGCATAAATAAATTAAAAAACAAACAAACAAACAAAGTACTAGTGAGTAGTTCCCTCTCTGAATCTCTTAGATACCAAATGAAATCCACTCTCCTAACGTCGGCCAGCAACTACTCTCTCACATTGAAAAGAAGGGGATCTGTGTTAAAATAAATGCTGGAGCAGAAAGAAGAGAGAAGAATCTAGAGCAGACGTAGCCACTTACATCCCGAGTCGCAAGCACCTCTGCTTACTCACCCCGACCAGCAAGCATAAAGCTGGCACGCTGGATTGGGAAAGAAACCCCTTTCCTGTGGGAAGTCGATGCTAATCAGACTTCCCTATGTTTGTCCTATCATTTAATAAACATATGGTTTACATAGTCTCTGAAACAATTTGGATCATGCAATTAGGAAGTTAAATTGCTCAGAAAAAGGCAAATGGAAAAACCATCTTTCCCGCATGGAGTTTATATGTAGACTTCCTCCGATTGTCTCCTACGGGTTCCAAGTTCACC